CAAGATCGCTGGAAAAAGGACCTTTCACAGAGGTTCGCTAGAGGAGATTTGATTTGATTTGAAAAAAAAACAAGTGAAGATTTGGCAAACAGCGATACAAGATAGCAACAGTAAAAAAAAGATTGAGGGAACGTCTCTGATACTTATAAAGACATAGTGGGCCCGAAGGCCGAAGCGTCAGGAAAACGAGGAGATTTTTTGGAATCTCGAAGCATCAGTTTTAGATCTGACCGTCCATTTTCCCACGAGATCTTCTTGAGCCGTCAACGTCATGATTGGCCACCGATAATAATTACCCCCTTATTTATTAGGGGGTAATTATGGGGGCAATTGAGGATATCAAAGATGGACTGGACTAGACCCGACCCGTGGGTAAAGCACCAGGTTGAGTGGTAGATCCGAGCCCAAGCAAAAAGGGTAGCATAATGAGCCCAACACCCACGAAAGAAAGATCTGACCGAACAGTTGAACTCAGCCCATAAAGAAAATAATGCGAGTTAGGCCCAACGTCTGAGACTTACGTGATGAAGTCAGGCCCAAAAGGAAGAAAACCCAAGAATAAGAGCCCTATGTAATAAGTTAGTTAGAGCATTTGTAATACTCTATAAAGAGACAGTACGAGTAGAGATAAGGGGGTTTTTTGAGGGGGGAGTTTTCATTCTGTTGAAGTGTAAGAATTCTAGAGAGAGAAAGGTAATTGAATTTCTTGCATCTTCACCAACAGAGGACCTAATTATATCCATTTTATGAAGCATAGCTACAGTAATTACTCGATGATGATAAGTCGAATGATACAAATTAGGTAGAGATATAGAAGTAATTTCTTAAAGTGACTGGAGTTTCTCGCCATATATACCAGTAGCCTCTGTGTCCTCCATAGCTAAAAAAAAACTCATCTAGGCATGTCAACTCAGCACAAAAGGTAAAGATTTTTATGTCAAAATTAATAATTAATAATATGAAGCTTAGGTGTTGAAGCCAAGTGTTCAAAAATTGTGATGACATACTCCTTGTTTACCACCAAGCCGTTGGCTAGCTCGCAGCCAAGAGAAGCTAGTGTCTATGTGTGTGTTTTTTACATACCCAGTATCCAAGAACTATGATGTGTTTGAGTGTACTGAACATATATTTAAATAATATATACACAGACATATATTATGATATCTAGAAATATATATATATATATATATATATATATATATATATATATAAGCTTACTTAATTGACTTGTTCCATATTAGTAGTCCATTATCTCATTTTTAATGAATTTCATACAGACTGGGCTGACTTAACGGTGAACATTTTTGAAGAACCAAACTGTGAAATTCATTAAAGACCCAGTTAGTTGACGAAGCCGACTGCAGAAGATTGTGATTGGTTGGCAAAATCGTTAGTTGTCGAGAATAAAAGTGTAACAAATAGCGTAGAAAGAAAAAGAACGTTCTACACATGTCGTGTTTTTGCGCTAGAACAAATAGTGTAAGGTTGTGTTTGGCAGTAGTGCTAAGTTGTTATTGTGATAAGGTGATTTGTTGTCAGAATACTACTGGTTGTTCAGATTGCATTTGACACGTCAGTAACAGCAGGTGCTAAAACAATAAAACGACAACATTCCACTGTAGGGTGATTTGGTAATCTAACATTTTCAGTGACCTCCAGTGACAGTGACAATGACTTTTGATTTCGTTCTTAAAGTGCACTTTTTTATAGTTCAAGGGGCAGTTCTTAGTTCAGGGAATTTCTTGAAATTGGCTGATAGTTCAGGGTTTTTTTTACACTTTACCCTAACAAATACTATGTTGAATGATAACGTAGAGCCCACCTCATCCATTAGGAGAAGACTGGATATTGGCTATTGTAGTTTGTTTTGATAAACATCCTTACGAGAAAATTTTCTTACCCCGTTTTCATTACATGTGAGTTAGAGCTTGTTTAGAACTCTATTGTAACATGGTATATAAGGGCGATAAGGGATTTGAGTGATAACTAGAGATGCTGAAAATCAAAGGAAAGAGTTGAGTGAAAGTGAGAGTTAAGGTTTGGGGGTTGAAACTTGAAATTCCTGATTTTTGAATAGTAAATTCTTTCGTTAAATATTCACTGTGGACGTTGGTACAATTTATGTGATGTTTTTACCATTTTGTTGTGATTCGCAATTTATTCTTGGTTGTTGGCATAGATTCCTAAACAATATTAAATACACAAATTTCACATAAAAAATTATTCATCCTTTAAATTTTAGTTTCACAATTGATGCTTAATTTTTAATATTGTTTACCTTTGGTACAAACTTATAATAAGGATTTTGTTGAATATTGCCCCAAAAAGAAATTGATCTTAAATTTAAAATTGAGATCTTAAGATGTCAATATTGTGCTAGAAGAAGAGAATCCTACATCATAATTTTCTTAAGATAAATTCTTGTCAATTGCTCAAAAATACTAAATCAAATCAGATTTTGAGTATATAAGAAACACTGCTTCAATTAGGGGTGACCACGGATCGGATCAGATTAGGCATCAACGGATTAAAAAAATCTGAATCCACCACCGATCCAATCCCAACGGATTAAAAAAATCTGAATCCACCACCGATCCATTATATTATGAATCAGATCCGTTGAATGACAGATCGAATCAGATTGGATCCGCGAATTGGGATTTTTCTTAAATAGTCAAATATTATTTATTTTTTAACCATAACCCAATAGATGAAATTTCAATTTATCACCATTAATTTATATATTTAAATGATCATTAATTAATATATTGTTAGAGTCCATTAAATGATCATCAACTAATTAAATTAACTAATACATTCTTTGAATATATATATATATATATATATATATATATATATATATCTCACAGATCGGATCAGATATGACTCACGGATTGGATTGGATTTTTAATAGCCCAATCTGTGATCCGATCTGTGAGCCATGGATTTGATTTTTTTTAATCCGCCACCGATTTGTAGGTGTAACAATTCGATCCGATCCGCACGGATCAGAACGGATCGAATCGGATTCACGGATTATTTGTCCACCCCTAACTTTAATAGTAAAGAGGAAGAGATAGAGAATGATTTGTGACCTTACTACTGACCTCATCCCTACGTATTAAATATGCTAGGAAGCATGAACACCTCTACGAAGGAGTTGTACCCGTGTCGGACATTGACACTCCTCGGATACTCCTCGAATACGTGTTCAACACTTCATATACTTGTCCATAAATAAAAATGAATTTTATTATTTCAGACACTTCGTCAACACTTTCCCGATACTTCCTGGACATTTCTAACAAAAGTCTACTCAATAATTTTGAAAATTATATGAATACTATCATGACAAAGTAGTGAAATAATAATATATATAATATAAAAATCATTATAATAATGACATAAGTTTATTTTTTAATTCATTTCATATCAACTTTTAGTATATAAATTATAAATGAATTAAAGTTTTAAAATGCTATTACTGAATAAATGTATAAAAATAAAAATTTATATTTATATAGAGTTATATCCATGTCGTACCCATATACTATTTTTTAAAAATTTAATGTGTCAACATACGTATCGTATATATCCATATCTATATTCATATCCATATCCGTTCTATATAGAATATGTATATAGAACCAGAACACCAAGCATGGGCCATGGGTTGATGCAAGTTGAATGTTGAGCCCTCCTAATATTAATAAATAATGACTCCGGACCTTATTTGCATGGGCCATGGGTTGATGCAAGTTGTTGAGTCCTCCTAATATTAATAAATAAGGACCCCGGACCTTATTTATGGATCGACACAGCTAATAGCTGACTGACTTGAACGAGAGTCAGGCTGATGACTCAAGTCTTTAGCTAGCTAAACTAATCCCACTACTTCAACTTTATCTTACAAACATCAATCATTTTCATTAGTCATTCTATTTTTTGTTTAATAAAAGAACACTGTTTTGTTTTTTTGTTTTTTTCTTGTTTTTTTTTCCTAGCTGAGATGTTTAATAATATATGATTTAACATGATAATTTAGAATATTTAAATCAAAATAGTTTGACCATGGGAAGATTGTCCTTCTTATTCAACAAAATATACATCTATAATATACCTTCCTGCTATTAAACAAACATGAAAGCTGGTCGATGAACTCACTCGCTCTCTTAGATTCACACGTACACTCACATGATGAGACGCAAGCTCAACGAGTGTATCTCAATATTAGGAATGTTTAATATTTTACGAGCTTGGATAATTATTTTTATAATTAAGGTTGCGTCCGGACTGAAAAACTCCAACCCAAACCAAATTAGGCTTACACTTAGGTTGAGATGCTAAAAACTCGAACCCAACCCGAATTCAGAATCTAATATTATTTATATACACATTTTTTGTATTTAACATACATTATACACAATATTCAAATTATGATCATCTTTCTTTTTGCAACTTTCTTTGTTAAATCTTAATTTATTGTATGTTAAAATTACGAGAATTAATTTTTTAAAAATTTGTTTGTAATTTATTAAAAATTTGTAATAAGTTATTAAATTTTGTAAAAATAATTTAATTAAAAACTAATTCAAGATTACGTTAAATTTTTACAGTAGAGATTGACCATATGAATAACAAGAATTAACTCGACTTTCTAACCTGAAATTTAAGCCCGAATTGCAATACCTTATTTAAAAATAGATGAATAAATTAGGTACAAATTGAGTAATTAAAATTAAATACTCCTATAAAAAAAATTAAGGTTAGACTTATATATTGAATAAAACTAGAGCAATACCTCCAATCCGACCAGCCCATACGGTTAAACTTGACATAAACCTCATTCTACTAACTAATAAATTTTGTGGCCGCCTTTTAGTCTGGCCTCCTTCAGGGAGTTTGCAAGGAAGATTACATTTGAGACCCATTTTTTGTGATATTATTTGGGTAAACACACCAAAAGTCGTAACATCCATATCCTTGATACGATCAATAATTTGATCACGCTTATCTCCACAAATGACGTGTGAGGTAATTATTAATCGGTCAGCCAAGTAGTCCTATAAATAGAGGTATTACCATTCCTAACAAGCACCATTCAGGAGCCCTTTCACAAGGTTGCCAAAAATCATATCCCATATTCTGTGTCTCAGACTACTTCCCATATTCTCTGTCTCAGACTACTTCGGCTGCATCATATTCATCAAACAAAGAAGATGAAGGTAACCATAACCTTTTAATTACTTCAGTTGCAAAGAATTATATATATATATATATGTCCTAAGTTGAATTTGTGTATTTGGTTGCAGCAAAAGATGGTGATTAAACTGCAAATAAATGACCAGAAGGGTCGCTCCAAAGCCCTCAAGATTGTAGTCGGTATTTCAGGTAACAAAACTTTTCATCTTCAAGGACACATGTACATATATGTAGCTAGGTTGATGAAACTTGATAGCCTTAGTTTGGAGGATGGATTGTATGTAATCAATATTTTTATATGTATGTTGTGCAGGAGTGGAGTCAGCAGCTTTACAGGGTGCGGACAAGAACGAGATAGTGGTAACCGGAGATGGGGTGGACGCGGTTGTGCTGACGACGGCGCTGAGAAAGAGCAAGAGCATAGGCTATGCCGAGCTTGTAAGCGTCGGCGAAAACAAGAAAGAGGAGGAGAAGAAACAGACCAAAAATGAGGCGGTTGTGCATCCTCCCCTGATTTGGACCTCTTACGCCCCATACCCGCCAAATTACCAAATGGTATATGAACAAGACCCCAATTGCTCCATTATGTGATTAATGAAGTAGTGGAATTTGTAATTGTAGAAGGGAATTAATAATATTCCCAGTTCATGATGCTTGTTTGTGAAATAATAATTCTATATATATATATATATATATATATATATACACTTATTTTTTTCTTGGCAGAACATAAAAAACAAGTTAGTCCATGTATTGGTATTTCAATTTCAATCCTCCAGAGCTGTGGTTCCTTGCAGTATGTGTTGTCTTACTCAACTTGCACTAATATAAAGTACAATTCTTTGAACCAGTAAGTCCTTTTGGACTGGACTTGGTGTTGCTCACTTTATTCAAAAGACTCCGAAAGGTTGAGTACAAATTGAAATAGTTCAAGCTCATTAAATATGGATCAGTCAAGAATCAAGAGTATAATTTTGAATTGCTCTCACCAACAGAGGACCTAATTAGATCATTTTTTTGAAGCATAGTCACAGTAATTACTGGATGTGATGGATGTTTATTCGATTGATACAAATTACCTAGAGATATATATACAAGTAATTTCTCAAGGTGACTGGAGTTTCTCGGTAAAGGCCCTTCAAAGTCATGTATACCAGTAGCCTCTGTGTCCTCCGTAGTCGAAAAAACTCATCTAGGCATGTCGACTCAGCAAAGCACGTAAATATTTTTATGTAACAATAATTAATACTGTAATATGAAGCTTAGGTGTTGTAGCCAAGTGTTCAAAAATTGTGATGACATACTCCTCCTTAACCACCAACCCGTTGGCTAGCTCTCGGCCAATAGAAGTGAGCAGTTCAAGTGTGGGTGTTTCTGTGTGTGTGTGTGTGTGTGTGTTTTTTTTTTTTTTTTTTCACACAACTTTGTGATGTGTGAGTGTACTGAACACACACACACACACACATATATATATACACACATATATTATGAGATCAAGAAAAATAAGATAAAAGAAAATTAATTAACTTGTAGCATTATATTTAGAATATAACTACTGTCTATTTTAAAAGTTGAGAGGGTATAATTGGTTTTTTCTTTTTGCCCTTTACTCTAACAAATATTATGTTGAATGATGTGGATCCTGTCGTGAACCAACGGCAAACTCACCTCATTCAATAGGAGAAGAACTGGATAATGGTTATTGTAATTAGAGTGTTTTGACAAACCTCCTTACGGAGGAAAATTTCTTAACTAGAATTATGTTGTAACTTGGTATATTAGAGTTTTTTTAGGGTTTTGAGTGATAATAAGAGATACTGAAAATTACATAAAAAGGAGTGAAATGAAAAATTATGGTTTAGAGACTATAAAATTATGGTTTTGTAATTTCTAATATAGTTTGTTAAATATTCTCACCGTAAACGTCAGTACAATTTATGTGGCGTGTTTATCCTTTTATTGTGATTCGTACTTAATAATATTAAATACACAAATTTTGCATAAAAAATTATTTCAACTTGTCCTCTAAATTATAGTTTCACAAATGATGCTTAATTTTTAATATTGTGTACCTTATAATAAAGATTTTCAATATTTTTTATTTGATGCTCAAAAATCCTAAATCAAATCAGATTTTTGGAGTTTAAGAAACATTGCTTCGATGGTGGTGAGAAAGGAGAGAGAGAGAGAGAGAAGGGAAGAAGATACGGAGAGAATTTTAGAGCCGTTTGAAATTTGAGCATGTTATTTTTTCTTTCTTTTTTTTTATAAATAAAATAATCAAGTTTTCGATGTGGGTTCATCAATCTTACATAAAACCTAGTATGATTTGTGACCTCACTGCTGACCTCGTCCCGTATTAAAAATGTATATACAACCAGTACACCAACTATGGGCCATGGGTTGATTCAAGTCTCCATATTAATTAATAAATAATGAGTGATGATGGACCTCCCTCATTTATGGGTCCACACAGCTAGGTGACTTGAACGAGGACACTCAAGCTGATGATTCAAGCCTTTACCCAATAAATCCCACTACTTCAAAAATATACAAACATTTTGTTTAATAAAAGTGTTTTTTTTCCTTCTTCTACTAGCTGAGATGTTTAATAATACTAAATGATTTAACATATATGATAATTAAGAACATTTAAATCATATAGTTTGACCTTTGGAATATTGTCATTCTTATTCAACAATATGCTGTGTGTGTATATACACATATACTGTATCTGTTTATTGTCAAGTGGAGGTGTGAAACGCAATTAAACAAACATATAAAGAAATAATATAGAAAAGTTTGACTAATTCATGTGAATTAGGGTAAAATGAATTTTAGTATGTAATTTTGACTGTGGTATAATTATCACACACAATTCTCTTTTAAACGGTTAGATGTGCATCTTAATATTTATATCACAAAAAGGTCACGAAATAAATGCGTAGCGGGTATATTCATTTTACCAACTCACTTCCTCGATGAGCCTTAACACATTGGCATTCTTTCAAAAGTCCGGAAGAATGTCAATGTGTTAAGGACTTTTAATTTAAATACTCGTGGATAGGGGAAAATTGTTAAAGTAACGCGCTATCTCAAAAGATTGAAATAGGCTCTACAGACTAAGATAAGGATTACAGATTAAAATAAGGATTACAGAATACGATAAGGAGGATTAGGCCTACAGATTATGATAAGGATTAAGACGACGAGAACTCTACGTAACATCCTGACCTAAGTCCTATAAATAGAGGGGGCTAATCGACGTTTGGAGTTACGCAATAAATCCTAATTCAATTTCTTGATTTCTCCATAGAGATTACTTCTCACACTTACTTGTTCGTCGAAGCCAACTCTACTGATAACACACCGGTGTTTGTAAGATCACATTTTTTTCTCTTTATTAAAGAAGTCAGATTAGATCCGTTTAATAAATTTCCGTTTAATAAATTGCAAACAAATTGTTAGAGAACTGATACTCCAAAGTGTTAACAGTTAATATACAATAAATCAAAAATTAAATAAAGAAAGTTAAAAATAAAAAAGTTTAACCATAATTTGAATTTTATATATAATATATTTAAAATTAAAAAATATATAAAAATAATATTAGATATCGGATTTGGGCTTTGGGTGCTGGTACCTCAACCCCAATCCACAAACCTTATGAAGGTTAAAAATTTTTAATTCAGGCCTAACCCTAATTATAAAAATAATTATCTAAATTTATTGATCTCATGAAAAGTTAGCGGTTCAAGTTCCTAGAGGAACTATATATATATACCATGATCATTGTGTTCCTTCATTTTGTTTGAGCTCAAAAACTATGGTTTTTTCTATTAAATAATATTGTATTGAAGATGAGAATCTTAAATCAGATTTTTTTCTAAAATCAAAATTTGAGAGTTTAAAAAAATGCTGATTCAAGTGAGAGAAAAGACGGAGAAGATAATTTTAGAGGCGTTTGACATTTGAACATGTTCCTTCTTTATTTAATTTTTTATATTTTAAATGAAATATTCAAGTTTTTGGTGTGTATTCAATCTTTTACATCAAAATTTTCACATTTTATCTGGAGAGGGAAAAACAGAGGTTCTGGAATTGTTTCGAGAATAAACACAGAGGGGGATTTGAGAGATGAAGTAAGGGAATTGCTCGTTGTTTGAGCCAAGAAGTAACAGAGGTAAAAGGCAGTGATCAGAGGAGGAAGGAAAGGTCTTGGGTTTGTCGAAATTTGCAGACGGAAGTTGAAAACACATGGCCCATCGTTGTTGTACTGTCCAATATACATATATTCATTAGGGACCTCTTGAATTGCTCACTAAATAAAATGATTAGGTTCTTTTATCTCATTCTTTCATTCGTTACACGTCTTTTTAATTTATTTAATACCAAGAGAATGCATTGGTCAACAAGAAGTGCAAAAGAATCTTTAATATACTGAAACTCTTTGTACTTTAAATAATATATATATATATATATATATATATATTATTTAAAGTACAAAGAGTTTCAGTATATTAAAGATTCTTTATATATATATATTATTTAAAGTACAAAGAGTTTCAGTATATTAAAGATTCTTTTGCACTTCTTGTTGACCAATGCATTCTCTTGGTATTAAATAAATTAAAAAGACGTGTAACGAATGAAAGAATGAGATAAAAGAACCTAATCATTTTATTTAGTGAGCAATTCAAGAGGTCCCTAATGAATATATGTATATTGGACAGTACAACAACGATGGGCCATGTGTATGGCCCATGGGTTGATGTTGAATCCTCCTAATATTATTAATAAATAAATGACTTATATATATATATTATTTAAAGTACAAAGAGTTTCAGTATATTAAAGATTCTTTTGCACTTCTTGTTGACCAATGCATTCTCTTGGTATTAAATAAATTAAAAAGACGTGTAACGAATGAAAGAATGAACCTAATCATTTTATTTAGTGAGCAATTCAAGAGGTCCCTAATGAATATATGTATATTGGACAGTACAACAACGATGGGCCATGTGTATGGCCCATGGGTTGATGTTGAATCCTCCTAATATTATTAATAAATAAATGACTCATGACCTAATTTACTGGTTGACTTGGACAAGTCAAGCCGACGATTCTAGTCTTCCTCCGCACCGCGTAGTGTGAAACTCAACTCTACGCTTCAACTATATGATAAAAAAGTAAAAAACAAACAACAAACCCCTTTATTAAAACCCGTTTGGGAATCAATTTGTTTTTGTAGTTTTTTTTTAATTTGAAATAAAATAAATATTTTGTTATAAACATTGGCAGAGCCAGCATAAGGCCAGGGAGGCACATGTCCCCCTGGGGCGCTGGCCCATTAATTTTAATTATAAATTGATCTTATGACTTATAAAAGTTTTTAAAATGCATCTTCTAAAATAATTTTTTCTAAAAGTCTCTTTACGGGGGCTGGCCCATTAATTTTAATTACAAATTGCCCTTATGACTTATGAAAGTTTTCAAAATGCACCTCCTAAAATAATTTTTTTCTAGAAATCTCTTTACCCCTGGTCATTAATTTTTTTTTACACATAGGCTAATAATTTATAAAAAAGTGAAAAATGACCCCTGAAATAATTATTTACACCTGGGCCAATTAAATTTTATTACAAATATGCCTATAATTTATAAAATTTTACAAAAATGCCCACTAAAATAATTATTTTTCTAAAAATCTCTTTAATTTTTCCTTTCTTTTCATTCTTACTCCTCTTCTTCTTCTTTTTCTTTTTTATATTCTCTTCAAAAAAAAAAAAAATTGTATTCCTTTATTCAAACTATATTTTTTCCCTTCAAAGTTTGCAAAATAAATTTGTTGTTAAAAGGACTCTTAAGGTCGGTATTTTATGTTTCCATCTTTTCTGAAGAAAAAAAATAATTGTTTTTCAAATTATTAAATGCTATTATTCCATCATCATTATAGTTTTATTTTTCGACATATTGTCTTGGAGCACTATTAACTTGAAAAAAATATATAATTTATCCTATTTAATACGGCGCCCCCTCCCCTTGGGAAACAAATTCATAGCTCCGCCCCTAGTTATAAAGTGTTTTGAATGATAATCGAAAGCATGTTTATTAATATTTATTTATTACAAGATTTTTTAAATCAAAAACTATAAAAACATGTTTGATAAAAAAAAAATGATGGAAGTTTTAAAAATATAATGGTTAGTTTAAAAATGTTTTTTTTTAATTTAATATATTTTTTTAATTTAATATATATTTTTTACTATTCATGTATTTAGAACATGTAAAAAATATTAAATTGGAGTTTCGATTTTTAGTCTTTATTCACAAAATATTTTGGTACTGTAGAAAATAAAACATTTTCACCAAACATTTTTTTTTATTATTATTGTTTACTGCTACATTACCTGACAAAAACATAAATACAAAAAATATAACGCATACCAAACAAATCCTTAATTTTTCTAATTTTTGTTTAATAGTACTATTTTTTTTCTTCTAATTAAGATGTTCTAATAATATACGGTTTAATTGGAGAATTGAGGACAATTGCATCACACGATTGACCACTAGAAGGCTGTCATTCTCGTAACAATATACATATTTATAATATATCGGTTTATTGTTAGTTAAACTTTAATAAATTTACTTGATAAGGAAAAATGATGAATGGACTTATATGAAGTCATCTCACCAACGTCAGGTTTCTTCTGTTTTTTATTATTTATTTTGCCTGGTTATCTGACTAACCTTTCGAATAATTCGTAAATGTGATTATTTGACTTTCCTTTTTGAATAATTCAAAACATTTTGTATATATTCGACCTATTTTTTAAGTGTTTGGTTAATATTTTTGTTTCGTGTTTTTTACTTTTGTTATAAAATAAAAGTATGAAGCATGTTTGGTAACATTTGTTATATTTGAATAGTACCGAAGCGCTTCCAAAATCGGAAGTACATAAATGATACTTTAGTTTACTTTCGCACTGTAGCAAAGCACTGCTAAAATATATATATATATATTACCAAATATGCTTTCATGTTTTTACTTCCAAAAATTTTGTAATAAATTTACGTTATCAAACAACCTTTCGAAATAATGTCGGACACGCTTTAAAGCAAAAACATTGCTTCTACATGTTTCGAGTCAAAACAAAAATACAAAGTAACTATGGTTACCTAACCGGCCCTAAATAAAACATCAATATGGTTCTTACAAACTAATGAAAACACAGTTTAACTAAAGTGTCTAATGTCAAACTTAGTGTATATAATATAATATATATATATATATAAATTTATTTATTTATTTTCTAGGTCAGTCCTATAATATAATGGATGGTGTGAAGGTTGATAGATATTATATACCAGTATTTATTTATTCTGAAGTCTCTAATCATCAAAGTAAAATTTTTTAACTTTAAACGTGACCTTAGTATTAAGTGAATCAAGCAAAATTAATTTGCATATTCTTCCTGTGTATATATGATCTATTTTTCAACTTAATTTCACAACATTGCGGCCTCCTCCTAAAAAAAAATTATTGCATACTCAGATAACCATCTAGTACGGTGGACAAAAATTTACTATTTTAATTTATTGATAATAAAAAATAGTAACTCATCATTCGCTGTAAGTATTACATTATCAATAGCCCCAAGTACCCAATAATTTACTCTTTGGGTGGTTGTACTGAAGATGACATTTTGGGCTTTAATTTGTTAAATTTGGCCGTATTTCTAACATAATAATATGTGATCGGTCAGACTTCACCTACTCAAAAATGACTTTTGAGGTAATTATTATAAATAATCACTTATAAATAGAGATATCTTGCACAGCATTCTCATTTATAACAAACTATATCTGTGGGAGCTTCTTGGTCAATCATATTCACCACACCAAAATGAAGGTATAATTTGGTCACGTAGGAATGACTTGTACTTGTATTTCTGTGTAGCAAATTGCTATTTCTGCAGTTCAAAAGGATTATATATATACACACACACATCTTAAATTTAATTTTGCTTGTGTATTTGATTGCAACAAAAGATGGTAATTAAAGTGCATATGAAGGACCAGAAGTGTCGTTCCAAAGCCATGAAGATTGTAGTTAGTGTTTCAGGTAACAAAACTTTTGGCACCCTAGGTCATGTATTGTTTTTTTTTCTTCATAATTTCATGTATTGTTTAGTACTCTAAAAACACTTTTCAATTATTCAGAAAATTAATGGAAAACAAATTTCAGAGAATTCAAAGAAAGAAAGAAAAAAAATTGAGGGGGGGTGTTTGAGGTGAGGGTTTGAATCCGATGGACATAGAGTGTGTATTACCTAAAAAATATTATTTTAAATTAATTATATTTTATTGTGTCAAACATAAAATTTTGTCTCATTACATTTTAGATTGTCCTTGCTCTTTTTTTTTATTTTTAAATTTGATACGTAGGCAAGAAAGTCACGTACCTCCTTTATTTTCACTTTATATGAAAAAATAAAACTGAACCGAACTTAACTTGTATGAAACTAGAAAAGTGAACCAAACATGCATGTGCTTAATTTATATATATTCTTTTAGTTGATCTTAGAACAATCATTCAGAACACATGTAGCTTGATGAAATTTCATGCTTTCGAGGATTGTGTCTAATTGATATTTATAGATATTCATATATATATATATATGGCTATGTGTGTTGTACGTGCAGGAGTGGAATCAGCAGCATTACGGGGGGGAGGACAAGAGCAAGATAGAGGTAACCGGAGATGGGATAGACGCGGTTGAGCTCATGATATTGCTGAAAAAGAAAGTGCGTTATGCCGAGCTCGAAAGCATCAGTGCGATTGATGATGATGACAAGAAAGATGATGAGACAAAAGAAAATGAGATACAAGTATACAAATATGTGGCCACTGTGCAGCCTCCCCTGATTTACACCTCTTACCCCTCTAATTACCCTCATTACGAAACGGTATACCCCCAACCACGACCCCAATTGCTCCATTATGTAATTCCACAAAATGAATGTAGGCAATATCCCAGCCATGACCCTAATTGCTCCATTTTGTGATTGCATAAAATTAATAAAGAGCTATATATCTAGGTGTAATTGGAGGTGGATTAAACTCTCTTTCTCTCATTCTTTTATGTTTCTCTTTCATGTATTATAGTTTGAAGTGTGTGTTATTTCTTTTGCATTCTTATGTCACATATATGATAAACAAAATCTTTGGGCCCACATTTTAATTACAAAACTTTTTGGGTTTAGGTTGACCGAAGATGAAATGAGGTCAAGTTTTGCTCTGATTGGCTGGTCTTGATCTAATATTAAATTGAGACGAGTTCGAGTTAAACTTGTTCAACTTGTACATTTAGCGAGCAATATTGTATACATTTGACTTTCATCATAAGTCTGTTTGAAAAGTCCTGGAAAGAAAGTCAGTAGCTTTTGTCCGTACGTACTTTCTCTATTCATTATACCAAACATATACGGTGTATATCTCAAAATATTACATGGTTTCTATTTTATATAATTAAAATATCACACAGTTGAGCGGTGGAATATTGTCATTTTCATTCAATATATATATATATATATATGAATATAAGCGTTTGTTGCGTGTCCTTCTGCGGGGATTCGACTTTTGGGGCCTAGCAGTATTTGACTAATCACAGTAGTAAAGACTGTCTATGTTGATCGAATCCATTTAGGTAACCATCAAGCAGATTACTACTATAAATAGAGGCCATAACTTCTTCACATACTCGTACCACCAACACATTCAAGTACCGCTCCACCGTTCTCAAACTCCATCTATTCTGTCGTTTTTTTTGTTTGTTCATCATATTTACCAAACAGGAGGCCGGAGGATCAAAATGAAGGTATATATATATAATTTTATTTATGCAAGTGTATATGAGGAAATAGAATGCACTTACAATGGATTTTATATGATTATAAGCTGAATGTGATTTGGGTTTTTGATTGCAGCAAAAGCTAGTCATCAAGGTGTGCTTGAATGGAAAGAAGTCTCGTTCCAAAGCCATGAAGATAGTAGTTGGTATTTCAGGTAAATTTGGTTTCTTCTTTAAACATAACAGTTTTTTTTTTTTTTTTTCCAATCAGTAAAGCTTGTAGTTTTTCCAATTTCCCTTGGAATTTAAAAAGTATACGTACACATATTTATATATATGTATGGCTAAATGTATGTATGTTGTGCAGGAGTGGAGTCAGCAGCTTTACAGGGTGCGGACAAGAACCAGATAGAGGTAACCGGGGATGGGGTGGACGCGGTTGTGCTGACGACGGCGCTGAGAAAGAACGTGGGCTATGCGGAGCTGGTAAGCGTCACTGCAGTTGGTGAGAAGAAGCCGGAACCGAGGAAAATCGAGGCCAATGTTGTGCAGCCTCCCCTGATTCGGACTCCTTGTTACCAATACCCGCCTTGCCGAATGATTTATGAATATTGGGAATACCCCGACCAAGACCCCATTTGCTCTATTATGTGATTGTAATGAAGAGGAATTTGTGTTGCTTTTTAGAGGAATTTGTGTTGCTTGCAGGAGAGGAGGGAATAATACCAGCTGATGCTGCTTATTTGGGAGGCAATCTAATTATATATACATGTACACTTTTTTTCGGCAGAACATAATAAATAACAAACTTAGTCCATGTATTGGATTGGCAGTTTCGAACCCTGCAGAGCTGTCCTTGTTTGTTTTGTGTACTACTATTAATTACGTCAACGGTCTATTAATCTTGTATTAACTTTTTCAAATTGGTAAGTCCTTTTAGACTGGCTTTAATTGGCGGGTCACTTGATTTGAAACACAACAAACTTTCAAGAATGGCAAAGGCCGCCACTACAAGTCAGAATAGTAGTTTAAACACATTACATATATGGATCAATTATAAGAGTATCATATAACAATATAGATGAAGTTTAGGTGTTGTAGCCAAGTGTTGCAAAATACTATAATGATAACATACTTCTTGTTAACCATTGGGCAAATCGCCCAAGTCATATGATCTCTCTTGACTTTAAGTTATTGAGAAATTATTACATAATTCCAATCAATTATGACATGACACACAAGCAAATAATTCTGCATGGTGACCCATTTTTTTTAGAGGTAATGATATGTAATGCCCCCTTGCACATTAGGCCATAATGTTATCATGAAAGTTTGACAATTCTATGAGACGTGACTAATTAAGAACAAGATTAGAAACAATGATGATGATGGTTAGCAATTATAAAACTTCTTCTGTTAGATAATGTGGGCCTTATAGAGCAGATCAAGCCCTGACTGTCCGATGAAGTTGGTTGGTTGGTTCCCTCTTCATTTACTTCCACACCCTGTTCTACAGAAATGCAATTCATTAATGTGAATTTGCATTAGGCCTTTGTGAATGAACCCACAAACAGAGCAGCACTTGGTTATTTCCAGACAAACAGAGTACAACTATAAAGCACCGAAAAACTCGTTAGTAGTGTTGCGCCAAAATTCTGTTAATAAGCCCAAATATAGGCCCAAGCTTCTAAAATTGACATTGATGCACATTCAAAGCTGATATCATATGAACATTGCATTTTGCATTCATACAATAAAGAGGCAGCACTTCATGCTAGTCAAGTTCTATATCTAAAACTCCAGTAAGTACACAATACTAACATTAGCAACACTGATATGATTAATATTAAACCATAAGATTTATTTTTTTATTTTTCTTTTTTGACAAAGACGAAAAAAAATACACAAGAAAGAGAAAAAACATAATCAAAGAGTAGAGCATGAAACAACCACGGGGCCAAATGCTCCACTCCAAATCGCCTAAATGGGCGTTCAAAGCGTGCTTACTCACTAAATGAGCAACATTGTTACAACCACGAGGAGTCCAAGCAAGGGAAGAACCCAAGCAATCCTCTAAAAGAGAAGAAACATCCGAGAAAATAACATTTAGAGCATCCACAGAGGCAGACAACTTCATTACAGAGTGACAGTCACCTTCAATAACCACATCCCGGTAGCCCCAATTTTTGGGAAGACCCATGAGAGAGCTTGGGACATTTTGCAATTGTTAGTTGAAAATGTTGACATTGTGTTGAAGATGACAATCTTATATTAAATTTTTCCTAAGATATATTATCGTGTATTTAAATATGCTCAAAAATCCTAAATCAGATCAGAGTTTTGATTTGATACTCAAAAATCCTAAAGTCAAATCAGATTTTGAGAAAGATAGGGAGGAGAGAAATTCAGAGCCGTTTGACATTTGAACATGTGTATATATATATATAGTTTTTGGTGTGGGTTCAATCTTAACATAAACCTTACAGCTGAGCTCGTCCCTACCTAATAAGTATGTATATACAACCAGTATACCAACAGTGGGCCATGGGTTGATGTTGAAATGTCTAGTCCTCCTCCAAATATTAATAAATAATGACTCATGACCTTATTTCTCTGGTTGACTTAAGTAGATGATTCCAGTTTTAAGATTACTAATTCACACTACTTTCACAAGATGATCCGTCTCTCTCCGCCTAGTGTGAAACCAAGAAAAAGAATGCTTCAACTTTTTGATGCAATACAAGGGAAAAAAAAAATAGTCGGTAGAGATAAGAGTTGATAATGCATAGTACGTATTTTCAGTGTCCATTGCCTATGAGTTGATAATTTATGTAATCGTTTGAAAATTGAAACGTACTGGTTTTTAATTTGTTTTTTATAGTATGTTTTCTTATCTGTACATGTAAATCTTTCAAACTTAGTTAACTTGACAATTGAAAATGGCTACTCAAGTCACGAGATGGACCTCTCAAACCTAATTACAAACATTATTATTATTATTATTATTATTTTCGTTCACTTTTCTTTTCAATTTTAGTCATCTAACATCATTTGACACATTTTGAGTATGCATGATTTCAGCATACTCAATTTTTTGAGAGGAAACTACCTTCCGATTTTTATTTTGAGAGAAATGTATTAATTGTTCTCTTTTTTTTTCTTTTTTTTCTTTTTTTTTTTTGCGTATATTTGAGCGTGATATAATTGAAATTTATGACATTCCAAGCACCAATACTAACTTTTTCTTGTTTGAAATCCCAAAATCATAACCATGTTGATTTCGAGCCTAATAATTTTAGGATCTAATAATCAAAGACTTGACTTTAGTGGTATATATATTCTCCACCTTTCTCAAAACTTGGTTAGTTAAGAAAGCCAAAATCATGGTACGCCTATGGCATTTTTGTATATATTAGACAAATTTTTTTTTTTTTTTAACGAGTTTTTAGATTTCAAAACATTTAAGTAGTGTATTATTTTTTACCTATCTGGCATACTCATAATTACTTATGATGACATGAATCTTATTACTCCCTCCCTTTCAAAATAGTTGTTCATTTATTTATTTTGGAATGTCCCAAAAAACAAGTCTCATTTCAAAATTGAATGCACTATTTTTTATGACATTTTCAAAAATATCCTTTTAACTAAATAACTCAACTATTTACGAAAAATTATTTTGTCTTTTAGTAAGAGTATATTTGAAATTCCATTCTTATCAATACAAAAAAAAATTATTAAAACTCCACTATCGTAAAAAATTGAATTCTACTTACATATATATCGGGACAGAGAAAGTAATACAAAACATTAAGAAGTAGTGAGAATACAAGCAGGACATGTATGGTACAAAACATCTTTTTTTTTACTCCGATTGCAAAAGGAAAGCTCGTCAATATACTCAAGGGAACACCCTTAATAGCATTACTCTTTGCATAATTAAGAATCACATATTTTTTATTATTAATTTTTCGTTTTTTATTACTGAGAGGAAGATTGTCCATCTTCATTTATCATATTATATATATATATATATATATATATATATATATATATACACGTTTGTTGCGTGTCACTTGAGTTGGGGTGCTTATGCGAGGATTCAGGAACGATGGGGATGACTTTTGGGGCCTACCATGTGAATTCCATTATATGACTAATCACAGTTAAAGGCTGCGTATGTTGATCTCGTCATTTTTACTAGATTATATATGTTTAATATATTATTTTGTGTCGAATTATTATCGAATCAGGTGGATTATTATCGGATCGAGTCGATCATAATTCATCGTTAATTTTTTTAGATCATAATTCATCTTTAATTTTTTTAACTAACTTATTATTGAATTTGAATCGTTAATGGAATATGAATTAATTCTTCAATCCTTATGAGAGTTATCGGATTGGAATCAAAATCTAATCTATTGGCAAGTCTACCGTCTACATATATGTGTTAGTTTATTTAACCTTCCAACAAAAATTTGACTTTTGTTACCAAAATACATGTCCACTTTGATAAGTCAAATTAGTAATTCATGTTTATATATATGTATGATGTGCAGGAGTCGGGCGGGACCTAAAACTTTAGGTAAGGAGCACAAGATTGAAATTTTGTAATAATTTCAAAGGGGGCATTAGTAATATTTTATGGGTATATATTGAAATATATATATATATATATATATATACACAGCCTTTTTGGCAGAACATAAATAACAAACTTAGTGTATGTATTGTGGTACGGCAGTTTCAAACCCTGCAGAGCTGCGGTTGTTTGTTTTTTTTTACTTCAAAGCAAGCATGTTTAATTTTATTAATCTTGCACCAAGATAGAGAACAAGTGTTTGAACATCTATATTAACTCTTTCTTACCACTAAGCCCATTATTGGTCACTTGATTTGAAAGACAACAAACTACAAATCAGAATAGTTTGGACCTGTTTACTAACAGGAATGATTCCTGATTTCTGCTGTCGATTCCGAAAATTGAGAATCAAAAGTAAAAATCGTGTTTAGTAAAATACTTTCACTTTTTTATTTTAAGAAACCACTTTCTAATTTTGTGAAGAGAGTTCTCACTTTCTATATTTTCTACACTGTTTGTAGAAATCACTTTCTCGACTGTAGTACTATATATATATATATATATATATATATATATATATATATATATATCCAAACTAATCATCTATATCACCCACCTCCTCTCCACCACGGTCATTGCCACTGCCACCTCCTCGTCGTCGACAACCACCGCCATTGCCGACAACCACCACCATCATCGCTCTTCTCTTCTCTCTACCACCACAAATTGCTACCAAACACCGTCGAAAACTGAAACCCCTTCATTGTTTTGAAAGAACAAGGTTAATATGAAATTCCTCCTCAAAGAAGTTAAATTCAACGGAATTCTCTGCCGAATCGGCGACGAGGCTATGACGATGTGGGCAACGAATCTGGCAATTGAGCATCTTCTACTTTGCTTTCAAAAGTCAAAAATCTTTGAAAAAGAAAAGACACGAAAAGTCAACAAAAAAGAATATTAGACTCGCCTCTTCTTGAAATCTCTGAAGCATAAGATGCTTCTGTTCAAGATCCGCGAGGTAAGGATCAAGCTAACTCTCACCCTATAAGGCAAGCTTTTGATTTTGATCCCTAAAGATTAGACCTTCCAGGTCCAAAAATACCATAAATAGAAAGATTAGGGCCTCAGACTAATCTTCCCAATAATAGAGATCGTGAGAGCCAGTCATACCATATGTAAGGGGTATAGCTCTGGGAACGGGCTTAGACAATGGATCGACTAATGGCTCGCCGGATATGACCAAGTTAATCCGGCGTTGAGAGACACAGTTAGAGAAAAAAAAATAAAAATAAAAATAAAAAATAAAAAATAAAAATTATAGAGAGAGAAAGATAAAGGAAGCAAAATTAAAATCAAAATTATTAAACTTCCTTTCTGTTTTTTACTTTCAAAATATTAAAAATAAAATTTTCTTATTAAACACCATTTGACTTTCTATTTCATTTCAAAAAAGTAAAAGTAAAAATAAGAAAACGAAAGCGTTAGTAAACGGGCCCTTTATAATCATTACACATATGGATCATTTAAGAGAACTAAGATCTTGAATTGGGCTCACCCATAGTGGACTCGGATCCACACAGCTGGTTTCCCTTCCCGGCCCAGTAAAGTCTGTTGAATGTCAGAACAGCTGCACCCTCTTTCTGGCCGGGCATTATTGTTTGCAAGTAATGATATATATGCAATGGCCCCCTTGCTCATTACACCACTAACTATAATGTTGAAAGTAGGCAATTCAATGAGACATGACCCGTTTAAAAACAAGCTTAGAAATGATGATAATAGTCGTCAATTATATATAAAATTTCATCTGTTAGATAATGTAGGTCTCACTACAGTTCAGCATAGAACCCACCTTGTCTAACAAAAAGGATAATTTTTCATGACATGGGAGCATTCGTCAAATGTAAATTGACATAGGGGGCAGCCAAGCAAAAAAAAAAAAACTGTTATGATCATCTCTGGCTGTCAGTCGTTGTGTCTGCGTGACTCCTCTGATGCCAACTAGGAGGAGAGTCCTATCTTAAGACAAGCTTCTTAGATGGCATCCAGGGAGCCAGGCAGATCAAGCCCTGACCGTCCGATCGTGAAGTTAGTTGCTTGCATGCACCTCCTCCACACCCTGCAATTCAATAATCAGAATTTGCATTAGTAACAAAGTACTCGTACGAAACTAAAAGCAACCAAAGGGTTATTGGTAGTGTTGGGCCAAAATTCTGTTAAATTTCGAATTAGCCCAAACAAAGGCCCAATCTTCTAAAATTGACATTGAAAGCTGATATTATATGAACGAACATTGCAGAATTCAAGTTTCAGCCCTGTAAATCATACAATAAAATTACAACGCATTCATTCATAGAAACTAACATGTATGTGTTTATTACTTATAGATATAGAGATACATTCTTGTATGGACATGAAATGTAATGGTAAAGACTACAGAGGCAGCACTTCATGCTACTCAAGTTGTATATCTAAAACTTCATTAAGTAACCAATACTACTAACATTAGCAACACTGATATGATTAATATTACACTATAACTCAACCCAATTAATTATATATGAGCGATGAAATCTTGATATACTCACATTTCAATTCCAAGCTGAAAAACAATTAAACCCCACTCTTTCTCTCTCTCTAACATATACCTCTGCATCAAATTAACTTCGAAGTGAGAGAGAGACGTAATAGGATGGGAAATTTAAAGGGATTTTGAGAGAAGATGAACAACGGATGATCCAAAGAAAAGGAGAGAGAAAGGAGTTTGAGCAGGCGGCAGAGAGAGAGGCTACACTATGTACTAATATATTAGGCTTATGATTTGCTAATTAACGAAACGAAACCAAATAATAGGATTGTCCTTTCACAATCTAATAAGTATGGAATTTTCTCTCATTGGAATAAATGATTATATATATATATATATATATATATATATATATATGAGTGTACTATTAAATTGGGTGTTTTGACTAGATTTCAGACGTTACCAAAGTCACTGGATGAGACAATTACAGCCTTTGATTTGGGTGGTTTGACGGATCTTTTGATGGCCGTTTAGAATTAACTTAATCTTTTTTTTTTTGGTCAAAAACTTATACTTAAATTTATGTAATTTTTTAACTCTTTTTTCTTTTGTTAAATAAAGACAAACACCTACCATTTACTTTGAGGAGACAAGAAATACACGTGTAGCATCACTAGTGATACTCTGTGTTGCGTGAAAAGGGGAAGTAAGTTTGAACTATTGACAAGTACTGTATTTTATACAATGAAAAGATTTTGACATATTACACTTTAGTCTAATAATTCCGTTAATATAAAATATATTAACTCCAATATGTACCATTTGAATATGAAAATTCAGGGCGGCGAATATGGAATTGGGTAAGGAGTAATAATTGTTTAGAGTGGGTAAGACATGAAATAGATTTCAGAAACAGAGGAATTTTGTTGAATTTTAGCTGGCAGAATGTGACAGATTAGAATATATTAGACCCGTTACTGTTAGTGAATAATAAACCAAGGATGAATTTAGGGGATTTTGAAAATATATCATTAATTTTATTAATTTAATAGTAATATACAAGCATATACTCCGTGTGGCCTATATTAATAATTTATTTTTATATATTCACTTGTTTCAAAATATTTGGTATTTCAAGTTCAAAAAATAATTTAGATATTTTTAAAAGAGGACAACAAATATTTTTAAAAGAGGACAAAAAATAATTTAGATATTTTTATATATTCACTTGTTTCAAAATAGTGGTTTGGGTTTTTTGTGTGTGGAGTCTCACTAGACAAAATGGTACAAAGCAAAGCCCAAATAGCTATGGAAGCTAGAGAACCAAAATGTGGAGTAACAACATAATTAACAAGTATCACAAATGAATTTACCAACAACAACTTGACTTTCATCTCAATGACTTCGAGATAGATCATTGCTTGGTGCCATAAGTAAAAGCTCAAGTTACTAGATGTTAGATCATGGATTTGAGTTGGAAACACTTTTTTATAATTTAAAAAAAAAAATCCATTTTGGTCCTTTCCATTTTCGTTAATTATATTTGAAGCCCCATTAATATAACTTTAGATTTCGTCACACCCCCTCATGTACGTTCTTCAATTCTGCTTCTGCTATTCTTTGAATATTGTAATTGTCACCTAATATTTAAACGATTTCATGACGGAAATTCTCCTGATTATTGTTTATGTGGAGAAGCAAATATTAAAATTACAACGCTTACAGAAATTAATTTTACATATATAGTGAAGCCTCTCTCATTACCAAGGAATTTCTGCATAGGAATCCATCTGATTCTGAAAAGAGTGATGATCGATCATAAAACATTAGTGGTGCTTCTATGGAAAACTTCAATTTGATGGGTATCATTTTCAACCTTAGACGTCAAAAATGGAGGCTCACTTGGAACAGTGGTCCACTTTTAGTGTCAATCCTCTTTGAAACTCTACGTACGGATATGCAATGGGTTGGTCCCCATCTTCAATACTCCATCTACACAAAGATAAAACTAGCATGTTATATATATATATATATATATATATGTTATTGACAGGATGAGGATTTATTTCTTTACCTGAAATTCTGTACTAGATGGTGGAGAAAGAATGCGACTTCCACCTTAGCAAGTTCAGATCCTGGGCAGCATCTGGACCCTCCACCAAATGGAGTGAATTTCTTGCATGTTTGATCTTGGCTCTGAATTTATTTATTCATAAAATTATTTCATTATTTGTTCATAAGACACTGATGTTTTATTCTGTAGAACACAATTCTTAATTACCGAAAAAAAAATCAGGGAGAAACAAAGGTAATACTCCTATTTCGTAGTAAATATATTAAAATGACAAAAATAGTAGGGCATAATCGTACCCCTTCCTTTTCTGAGTAGAAATGGTCCGTCCCTAACCCTAGGTCATAGCCCGATTACTGGTCCAATTTATTTAGAGAGTTTTGATTAAAAATGGACCACATGTAGCATCTAAGTCTACACAACAAAATGCAAATCAGGGCCCAGTTTTCAACCACTAAATTATTGGGATCACTTATAAACCATATATGCGTGTGTGACTGTGTGTTTGTGTGTGTGTGTGTGAGTGTGTGTGTGTGTATAGTAGGACAGACCAACTAGATTTTTAATATGATTACCTCCCATCTCCAAGGATGAAACTCGAAAGCACTTGCATGTAGAGAAGGGTCTAAATGAACCGCACTGAAAACTGGTAGGACCTTCCAACCAGATGGAATTAGATAACCTGAAACAAACACACATAAAAAAAAAGCCAAGACCTTTTTTGTTAGTACAGATCATAAAAGTATATAAAAAATTCAAAAAGCTCATGCATGCATTATGGTGTGTGTGTGTGTATATATATATATATATATATGTTTTGTGATCTTCAAATTAAGGTGGATATTAACCTTTAAATTTGATATCTTTGAGAGCCTTTCGATGCACAAATTTGACAACGTTCCCATATCTAAGAGCTTCATTAATGACCTACAATTAGAAAAATACATTAAAGAGAATAATAAAATTAACATCTTAAAATGAATAATAAAATTAACATCTTAAAATCAATATTATAAATATATATATATATATATATATATATGGTAAAGAAAATATTACATTTTGTGTGAAATCCATTTTCTTGTAATCGTCCAAGTTTAAAAACTCATCTTTCTTCTTCAGGTTTCTTATGTTCTGATGCTCCACCTATATTGAAAAGACTAAATTTAAATATATAAACATAAAACAAATAAACTAGAACATATAGTATTAGTGTATTATATTTGAGTTGAATTAATCTCTAATTAAGATTGGTTTGAAATGCATGACTAAAAAAAAACAAGCATGCACCTTTAATTGTTGAAGTGCAGTAGGTGATTGAGCAAGGAAGTGCACCAGCATGGACATTAAGAGAGAGGTAGTTTCATAGCCACCCAAAAGAGAATCCAAAGCAAAACTAACTTTTTCATCTTCAGATAAGGTATCAACACATAGGAGTATCTCCAGAAAATCACTACTACTTTTGTTAGATTTTCCACCATTTCTTCTTCTTTCCTCTATAATTGCTTTGACAGTGGAAAATATTCTTGTTCTAGCCTGTAAAGATGTCATCAAAGAAAAAGTTGGTCACATGCCTTCTTTTTGCAGTAAAAGAAAGAAAAGGAATATATATATATATATATATATATCCAATTAAACTTTCTTTTAAGTAATAGAGAAAGCGAATTTTAATTTTAGCTACATGATCACCTTAACAGCTCTTGCATATGGAGTCCCAGGAATATAGAGTGGAATAGAAATCAGTCCTCTCATAAAAGTGAGGAAATCTTCAAGAATTTTTGCAGTTTCTGGCTCATCTGGTGTTAAACCTAGCACTTGCTTTACTATTACATTGAATGTAAACTGTAACACACAAATTCAAAACAACCAAAACATATGAGACTATTATATTAAAAGATGGTATAAAATATTGAACATATATATATATACCTTTCTAGCTTCTTCACAGAAGGTGACTTGGTGTTTATGTTTCCATGAATCAAGTATGTCAATGGCTGTCCTCTCTATGTCATTTAAAAACTGAGGGTTTGATTTGGTGGTGGTGACTAGGGAGAGAGCCACATTTCTAAGCCTCTTGTGAGTGTCACCTACTGCCACCAGCATTGAAATCTTCCCAAGAATTCCATGGATGGGCTTTGGGTAGCTGCACTGGAATAACTTGTCTTCATTTTGTAGTATGAAGTAGTTCAGCTCTTGGTCACATGACACCACTGTGGGAGAGAAGAACAAATGGGATTTGAACACTTTCCCATACCTGAAAAAACACCAAAAACCCTTTCATGCCACCTCTTAGGTGTCCATTTACACAATTGAACAAGTATATATATATGTATATATAAACCCTGACTATATGTAGTTTTGTACTAAAGAGCTTTCAAAAACAATGAATTAAATACATATATAACTAATTGACAGCATGAGTTTGGAGTCAAGAATTTAAAACATCAGTATATGTATATGTATACGTATACGTATACGTATACGTATATATAGACCTACAAAAAATATGTTGTTATTTACCTAGAACAATGGTGTTGAAGAAAGGTGCCAGTAGAGTTGGAAGGGTGAGGCTTCAAAAAAGAAAGTGTTTCACCAAGGACAGGCCACCCAAAAGTCCCTTTAGGAACAAGACCAAACTTGAGGAACAAAGGCAAGAAATGGTTTACAATGATTCCCAACAAAGATCCAACAAAACCAACTAACAAGGCAATCCAAAAACCTCCAGCCATGGACATAGGCTTGGTTTGGTTTGGTTTGGTTTGATTAGGTTCTCTCTAGCTAGCTTGTTGTTGTGTAGAAGTTGAAAAATGAGAGCAACTTTAAAACTTCTGTGCAATTAATGGAACTTTGGAAGGCACCACCAAATGGTAGCTAGTCTTGATGCCAATATATATAGAGAGGAGAGAGAGAGTTTATGTTGTGTTTATTTAGACAAGTTGGAAAACAGGCTTTATCAGACATAGGAAATGAAAATGAACCTAGCCTACCTACTAGGATCTAGACTTCTACACTGGGTACTACTAGCTAGGTAGGTGTGCAGGCCACAAATTATAGTATATATTATACTAAAATATATTATACTACTGCTAGTATTTTATCTTTTTTATTTTTTTTTTGACGCGAGAACCCTTACAATTATGCGTTCTTTGGGTATGTAGCTCTCAGTAAACCCCTGCCAACAATAGTGTATATTTTTTGTTAACATATGCAGTAGTTGTTTTTCTTTACAAGGACTATATCACTATTATTCATTTGATCTTTGTTTAATTATTTTTTAAAAGAAGCTAATGATATGCATGTTTCTGCAATATTATCGAGCATTGAGTTGCTATATGTACTTTTTAATATAATTTTTTTATTATTAAATCTTTATAATGTGAAATTAACAAAAATTAAAGTAGCGTCATGAAAAAAAACAAAATCCACCAGTGGAGACTAAACAACCAAATTGGATTGAAACCACGAGAGCTAGTTACTACATTATTCTGTTGTTCTTGGCACAGACAAGTACTTATGCTGAGTTGGTCCTAAAAATTACATACAACCAAAAACATAATCATATATGGCCATTGATCCCAGTATAATATAGTTGATGGTTGTCAAGATACTTGGTGCAGATATATTATTAGCGTTAATTGAACAAAGAAATTATGCATGTGTGTGTCTTCTTACCCCCACACACACACAAGCAAAACAAAACAAAAAGAACAATTAAAATGAACCTTGCCTAATTCAATTATTAATTCTATCAAAACATCATCTTCAGTTGATCATTAGTGATATAAATTGTGATGGTGATGATAATACAGTCCTAGTGGTCGCATTAGTACTGGACAACATGGTTTATCACAATTATGGTGATGGAGGTTTTGGATAAGTTATAATGGTAATGTATAAGTGGTGTTTATTATGGTGGAAGCACTTATATTGATAGTGACGATATTACATATACTACTATATATATACACACACACACACTACTAGTTCAGGGGATGCCTATGGTTAAATTATACCTTTAGTTACGTTTTGGAAAGAGAATTGGCACGTTAATTAATAATAGAAACTTTACTAATGATCATTTCCAATTCCACCCTTTGGGGTTCTCGGAACTGAAAGTGAAAATTCCTCCATGTAATGGGTTAAAAAAGTCATGCCATGGACAACATTTCTCTTTTGGACTAATTGATGGTAGCAGATGCTTTTTGTGTTGAAAAAAGTTGGCGTGGATCTTGGACTTCTTTTATTCCGATATGAAAGAGATTCTTGAGTTTTTTTTTTTTTTTTTTTAAGATAAGTTTTTTCTTAATTTAGAGATATTTCTAATAAGAGTAATGATACTTACACCGATCACTTAGACAAAATTATTAGATTTACTATATTTGATTGGTCAATGCATGCTTTTTGTGTTGAAAAAAGTTTGTGTGGATCTTGGACTTCTTTTATTATGATATGAAAGAGATTCTTGAGTTTTTTTTTTTTTTTTTATTAGATAAGTTTTTTCTTAATTTAGAGGTATTTTTAATAAGAGTAATGATACTTGTACCGATCACTTAGGTAGAATTATTAGATTTATTATATTTGATTGGTCAATGCATGTCAAATATAAAAAATGAGACCCTCCACTTCCTCATCTAATGCATTAATAACCAATCATATATAGTAGGTCTAACAATTCTGCTTAAGTAATCCGTGCAAGTATCATTACTCTTCCAAATAATGTTGCTCTGCCTAACTTTATTGAACGTCAATTGAATATACTTTTATTGTAATTAGAGTATCTCCAGCGGTCTATTAAAATAACATTTTGTGTAAAATATACACTGCCACCTATGACATGTAAATTTTTTCCATCTCCAGCAGTCTGTTAAGATACATTGCCACATCACTAATGTGTAAAAAGATTGTATATTTTATACAACTTTTTTACACTGCAAACATATTTTCTTTCTCATCCCTCTTTCTCGTTCTATTAAAGAATCAACTATATATTAAGTAAGTTTGTAAAAGTTATATGGGTCCTGGCATGATACATGGTTGATTGTCATTGAGAGGTATTTTTACAAAAAAAAAGGTTTAAAACAACCTTTGGAGTTAAAATTAAATAATCTGAAATTTTTGTATAAATTCATCATGACACATCAGATTTATACAAAAAAATATATACACAACGGTTGGAGATACTCTTAGTTGTGTTTGCTTTGTAAAAAAATAAAAATAAAAAATTCACATGACACCATACTGAGTTTTACCAATTTTTTGGATTGTTCCAAATTTTAGTAAAACTATATACACTTCATTTAAAATAGAATGTGGCATTCAATTTTTTTTAATATGTCTATATTTTATATATAACTATAAAAATATATATATTATAAATTTTTCGTGCTTGTATTTTAGACTAGTCAAGTTGTTGAAGTGGAATAAAACCTTTATTGAAATTTCGCCTTAAATTAATTCAGTTTCTAAAATTGAAATTCAATTCCAATCTCATGATCTTAACTGCCATGTTCACACTCCTAAAATGTTAAGGTATTGTACTGGGCTTGCATTCCCTACCTTTGTGAGCTTCAAATAAAGCTCTAGCTAGGCTTGCAATTTCTCTCTTGTCAACTAGAATTTTTATCCAAAATGAAAATGATGTGATGGTGATAATATTTTTAAAATTGATTGAGAAAAATATTCTTTTATTTTCGAAGTAATTGCAATCAATTAGATCAAATCATTCTTTGAAAGTTCAAAGCCACTGGAACATAAGTAGAGCAATAATACAAATTGATTTTCGGTATGGACCAAAGTATGTTCTACTTTTTTTTTTCTGTAATTTTATTCCCTTAGTATGTATTACAGTAATTGCCCAAAAAATAAATAAATAATCTTCCATGTGTATAATAAACTGGTCTTCTGGACCACTATGATCACTACCACAAAAAAAACCACATAACAGTGTGTTATGTCCTTCTCACCAAATTTTCTACCCACCAAAAAACGAAAATCCTTGAATGGAACCTCAGTTCATCCAAATTGTTCCTATATATATATATAAGTGTATATTCTATTAAGGGTAAATTGCATTTAAATTTCCTTAACTTTCACCTTGCGGGGTTGTTTTTTGATATTTTGTCAAAAATATGCCGACCAACCAAGTGATCAACATAACAGTGGGGTTTTATGCAATTTGTCTAATTGTGTGAATTAGCTAAAACATTCTCTCTTTTTTTCTTTCTTGAATAATAATATTTAAACTTATATTTTTCATTACATCCTTCACTATACTTTTAATTAAAATATATATATATTTTTAAAATAAAAATAAAATTAAAAAGTAAAAAATATACTTATGAGTGCAACTACATTATATTTCTTTAGCATATGTCTAGCATAGTTAAATCCTTTAATATACTTTTTTCCTATTTTTTTAAAATTTAAAAAAATTAAAGAAAAACAATCAATTACTTTTTGCAATTAAAATTCCTTTTTGTTGATTTAATTTTTTGATCAAATGTCCATCTCATATACTTTTATATATATATATATACACACACACACACACATTATATAAAATAAAAAATATAATAATGGTATTATAATATTTAAAATGAGTAAACATAAAAGATTTTAATTTATTTGCAGTTTCACTCATAATTATAAATTTTAATTTTTTAGTTTTTTTTATGCTTTTCTTTAATTACAAGTATAGTATACATGTAACAAAAAATATAAATTAAAATATTATTATTTGGAAAAGGCAAAAAAAAAAATCTTTTTGCTAAATTCATAAAACCCCCTCGACGACAAATTGCATAAAACCCTTTGACTTAGTTAGTGGGAATATTGGAAAAAAAAAAAAAAAAAAAAAATGAAAAAGCAATCTCCTCAATTAATTGAGGGGGTTTATTGATAAAAATAAATAAATAAAAAGGGTTTATGCGATGAAAATCAAGGGGGGTTTAAATGCACTTTATTTATGAACAAAAAGTTGTGTGCAACTTTTGATGTTCACCAAGGCAATGAAAAGTGACTACTTGCTTCTTCTTCTTCTTTCTTTTTTGATTTTTATTTTTTTTTGCCATCCTATTTTTCAACAAAGGCAATCATTTGTGTATATTTTACTTCACTACTACTATTAGGCATCTAATGAGTTTGAGAGGGTCCATAACAAAATAAATAAAAGTAATACTACTACACATTTTCACTATACAAGTAGTATATCACAGGAAATATCCTCTCTCGCTAGTAAACGAGGTTAGTGTTATTTTTCAAAAGTAAGAGAACTTTTTGTAATATAACTTATCAATAGGAGATCTTAATGTAATTTTTTCTTTTTCAAAACTCTCAAATTATATTTATATTTGGTTGCATAAAATTAATAATTGTGTAAAATTGAAATTGGAGAAAAATTAATTCTAAATTTTGAACTCAGCTTTTTTCAATTCTAATTCCAAGACACCAATAAAATATGTCTAACAGTTTATATGAAATTCACCAAATTAACCTTCCACTTGTGTTCATCCATTCTATCTAATTTTGAGCTTTGGATATTTACCAATTTTGTTGATGCCCCCACTCAACTACCCAAGTGAACAAAATGAGGTTGAGGCTCAATGCAGATTTCTTTGACCCCAAAAGTTTCCTTTGAATAGCCTTTCCAAAAATAAATCAATGATGAACTCTGAAAATATATATATATATTAAATTACAACTTTTCTTACTCTGTTTTCGTATAATAGCTTCATAAAACTGTTTACCATACAATGTTGTGATTGAATTCTTTGATAATGAGAGTTTTGTAAAGTGATCGAAATCATTGGTAAGGAATGCTATAAGAAATTTGATTGCCTTTCTAGATAGGCCATCCAAATAATGTCTTTCAAAAGGAACAAAGATTTCAAGGGATATGTTCCAAGTTTCAAAAGCAGCAAGACGTGAAGCACTACTCTGCACCACCGACCACATTCAAGTCATACGTATTTACATATGAATAAGTACTGGTGGAATGAATTATTTTACTTTGTACGCGATACACCGAATATTTCCTCCATGCAAAATAAAAGTGTCGTGTAGTTCAGCATGTTTGTGACTGATTTGACCTTGGCATTTGGATGGGGAAGGCAGCGATGGAAGTGTGTGGCAAAGGGGGTATAAAAGAATAGGAAGATCCCGAATATAGGGCTTATTGGGGTTGATTCCTTCCATAGTCAAAGCACAAATTGCAATATATTCTTCTTGGGTTCCACAACATTATTCATTCAAAGGGACCATTTCTATTCTTTACATCTTTTCTTTGAGCTTCGATTATCTGTGGTAAATTTTGTTGCTGTAATAAATAGTGTTTCAACGCCATTATATCCATTTTTAATATATATATATATATGAACTTTCTCATGTATAAGATAAAATCACTCTCCTTGTTTTCTTGTTCACTTTTGTTACTTTTGGAGATTTGAAGTTTCAACCTTCAAACATAGGCTACAAAGTTCTTGATCAATAAATTTACTTACTAAACCTATATCAATTAATTAACTAGCCAACAAAATGCTGTCACTACGTAAAGTATCACCACAACAACAGTTCAAACAAGTTCATGAAAAAGCTCATGGGTATGGCAGATGGGCTGATTTTGAAATTATATAATCCCAAAAGGGTACCGTTTCCACGGGGCATGCGTGTTGAGATTCAATGCAATACAGGCAAGGATGAAGATGGGAAACATGATAAGAGAACAAGTGTTATACTCTATGGAATGACTTAACAATACGCAAAAGTGTATCATTGTGTGTTGTGAATTGTTCCGTGCAAATGTCTTGAATCTACCCACCCAGTCACCCCTAAGTCCAAATTCTTCGCTCATGAACGGTCATAATCATTCACACAAAATACTTGCGGTCCTGCTATTACATCCCATATCTCCCTTAGACAAAGATCCTCTTTAAGAAAAGAAATATCTTATATACCCACCAATTATTAAATTGAATTCTTTCACTAATAATAATACCATATTAATGATGGATGGATTGCAGGACCTCCCTTGTTCCGAAGAAATCCTTATCTCACACACCTCCCTCCTCCCTCTCAACCGAGTAATTATTCGATACCCCGGGGTATGGTACCCAGGGCATCCCAACCTTTGGATGTAGTCACCACAACCATAATCGAAAGGCTCTCACTATTCCTCCGGGTATTCAATAATTTATCCTCTCAACCCAACTTCTCTCTCCATATAATTTTGTACTATACCTATTTGTATATATATATTTACAGTACTGTATATATACCAAGACTGTGTGCAAAACACATTGTTCGAGATAGCACGAGGAGGTGTCAGTTGGACCAAGCTCATTAATGCTTTTGAGTTTTGACTCTCTCTTTCTCTCTCTTCTCCCAGGACAAAGCAGAAGTTGAAACCCCCGACCCATGCCTCACCTTATGACTTGCACGAGTTTAGCCAGCATTCAAGTCAATTCAAAGCTCTCATTTATTTTGCTTTTTGTTGTTTTTGGACAGACCTCAGAAAAATAAAGCTGATTATCACACCACCATGGGAATGTGAAATTTGAATAGAGGCACTTAATTCGTGCAGATGCGTAAGATGACATGATTGAAATGTACCTCTCTCGTTGGATTCATGCTCCTCTCTCTCTCTCTCTCTCTCTCTCTATCAGTATATTTGTATCACAAGATATGCGTGCATGTGTGTGTATATATGTGTAACACTTTCTTAGGGTTGTACAAGAAGTTACTTCAAAATTTTGGAGGACCCCCATGTACAATACTTTCAATTTAAAAAGAAAAAGGTATAGGGTGATGACCAGATTAAACCCTAAATTTATTGAAGTGGTGTTCATTTTTATGGGATTAACAGTCTGTAAAGCGAGTGTGAGAGTGTTTCGTGGACTATGTGATTATGAAGCACGTAGATTTGTGATGGTATAGATTCGTATGTTCTATGTGCTTTAACACGAAATTCATAATTATCAAAATTTTGGAGTTACCCACATGTTCAAGGATTGGTTAAGCATATGCTGTATTAACTAATTTTAATATGAGGTAAAACTTTCATTGGTAAATAAGTTTTAACAACTGCTTTCTAGTATTGATTATAAGAACATGTATTATGTAAAATTATTAGTAAATTTAATTTATCTACCAAATTAGGACAAAAAAGAAAGGATAAAGAGTGTGAGACAGCATGCATTCAAACTTAAATTGTTAACAGAGAAAACAACACTTATATACTATCGTCAAACTGGCAACAGTCATGCAATGCATCTACAATACATCTACGATGTTACAATATCATTAAATCTATTATTAAATCGAGAATTCAAAGCTCCTGCATATACAAATTGTGAGTGTATGTATGTTGTAAAGTAGAAATGTTAGTTGTGAGTGCGTGGAGGCATGTGGTCCATAGCACAGAATAATTGCCGGTGGGGACAACTCCAACTCCGAAAAGGACCAGGCGTAGTAGGGGCCTCATCTCCCGTGCGTGTGTGATCAATCAAAACTTAGAATGAAAGGTTGCAAATCAAAGAACGACAACTTCTTTTCCTCAATAGTCATCATCATTTTGAATTGCATGTGCCCAGCTCTCTCTCTCTCTCTCTATATATATATATCAATATATATATCATGCATCTATTTTTCCAAGCTCTTGTTCCTCAACTGCTCATTACCTTACATTTAACCTTTTCCTAATCTCTTGTTCCTTTAAATGACTAATGGCAGGTTGTCGGTCTAATCAGTGTCGACTAGTTGAATGGGTCAAACATCTAGCCACTGCCCATATTTTAGTAAGCAAATCACCTCATAGAATAACCAACCACACCTATTATCAGTAGAGATCTAAATTTCCAGAATATCCATAGTTTATTATATACCTACTCACTCATAGTTTATGATCACAGATCATTGTCATCACCCACTACGCCATTAATTTGGAGGTAGAAAAAAACAGTAGAATTGAGTAATAATTGGAATCCTAATTCTGACAATGTAAGATCACAAATTAAAAAAAGAACAAATGCTCATTTCAGTAAGACATTAGCAACCAAAGTTCAAACTATCAAAAGTTAAGCCCAATGTTAAGAGTTTATGGTCACAATCTGGCCATTGACATCTTCTAGCAACCACATCACTTTAAAAAGTACAGTATATTACAATTCATGACAAGTTTGACAGTTTATGTTCAAAATTCAGTTGGCCAAGGGCTCGTTTAACGTTGCCATGGGCTTAAATAGGGATTCCACAAATATTACCATGCCCACATTCATCCTATTTTACCAAATTTTGACCATAACTCTATTGACAGGTTCAAAACTCCTGAGCTATACTTATTTGAGTCTTTGACTCAAAAAACAGAGTGGAAATAGTAAAACCAGGCCAAGTTACATCTTCCACCAAAATATTCATCACAGAATAGAACCCATATAAATGAGGTCGGCCACCTGAATTCTCTGTCTCCATTCCTTTCTATTAGCCGTCATGTCACCTACTATACTTCATCCCACATTATTTTTTGTTCCCCTTTACTTCTCTTACCTTCTTTGGAAATTAAACTTCCTCTTCTCACCGTTGCATCCATCTAACTCTATTAGTCACTCCAACCATCCATCTTAGCATTCTCCTTTCCACTACATGAAGACAAAGTTCCAGTTCCATAAAGCATAGTTGGCCTAATAACAGTCTTATAAAATTTTCCTTTAAACCTATGTGTTATTCTTTTATCTATAAGATGCCACTATTCTCTCCATTTTTTTGTCCAACCCGATCCAATTCTACTCATCCCAATCTTTCTCTCCACCCTTTTGTATTATTGATCCTAAATGGTGAAAATGATAATTTTGAGTAATCAAGCGTTGTCACTACATATTATCAAGAATCGAGTCTTCCTTAAATTTACATTCGATATATTCCATTTTGGTTCCACTAATTCTTAAACTTTTCAACCCTAAAGCATTTCTCCTTATTTCTAATTTTATTGCAGATTTTCTTTAGAAGTGTCCACCAAAACAATAGCATCGGCAAACATCATGCACCATGGAATGGCTTCTTAAAGTTCTTTTGTTATTTCATCTAAAATTATTACAAATAAGAATGGGCTCTTAACAACTATCCTTGGTGCAATCCTACATCTATGGAGGAATCACTAGTTTCACCACATATAGTAGTATGAACTTTAGTTTTTTTGTTCCTATGCATATCTTGGATACTCTCTATTATTTCATGGGAGTTTGTTTTCTTTGTAAAGCCCACCAAAAAAATTCCTCTTGGACCCAATCATTCGTTTTTTCTAAGTCTATAAAACCCCTTTTCGAATCGTTGTGTAAGTACATATATAGCTTCCATTGTTGATCTCCCAAGCATGATATGGGACCCAATATATATATACACACACACATAGGTAACTAGAGCACCAAAAAAATACTCAGTGAGAATGAAATCTAGAACTGCCAAGACATTAGCAGCCACTTTACTTCTGTTAAAGAAACAAAGTAAGCTACTTAAATCAAAATTCTCTGAAATCTTCTGACTGGCACATGGAATGATTCCTTTCAAAACAAAAATCTTCTTTCACTATGACTTGTCTTCTGCCTCCAGCCAGGTTTCAACAAACAACATTGTGGATATTGATAATTTCCACCACTTAAAATGACTAAGGCTCCCCCGAAGTTTGTTATCATTTACCGAAGGAGCTGGATAATTCATAACCCTAATTCTTGGGTATCTACGTTAGTTGGTTGCTAAACCATCAAAATTCAACCTTCAAATTTGCCAACTAGTTCTACCAAAAAGATGGGTAGGCTTCCAATTGATTAGACAACCACAGTTGCAAAGAAATCTACAAAGATGTCATAGTTGTGAAGTGGCTGGCAAAATTGGGGTTGTTTACTAAGCTCTAATTCGGTTGTGAACTACAAGAGACAAGCATACCCAACTTACTAATTAAATTACTAAAAAAATTCACTTGGAGATTGTCGACTCAAATGATTGACTTCAATATTATTCAGAGTAGAACAACTATTGCTCAAGTAATTACCCCTGATCATGAATATTGTCCCATTTTTACATTTGCTTCCCAGAACTCAAGTAAATGTCGATATAATTAGACCAATCTTTTAAATGTTCAATGTTCTCAGAAGTTTATCCACTCTCATCATTACCACTGCCGGAAATAACAAAACCGTAACTAATTGCATGTAGAAACAGAAAAAAGGCAAAAACAAAAAATCTCATGTGGTTAAAAGAGTAAGTTAACCAATCACTAAATACTTGTGATCAACTCTATGTACATTTAGTAAAAGATGTTATTCTGGCTTTGTTTTCAGACCCTTTACCCTAGTATCCAACTGCTTACAAGAAAGAAGCTCCAACACTTGTCAAAATAACTTGTGAAAAAAGAAGGTCCAACAAGAAGAAAGGACCAATCAGATTTTTGGATCTTCTTATTTATCAAAAAATAAAGATAATTGGATCTTCTTATTGCATGGTAAGAGTTTACCTTCCGTTTCTTGAGTCCATTATCAAAGTGACCTTCTATTGATTTGTTGAGCATCTTTTGGCCATGTTTCTCCATTTATCCTTGAGGTCAACCGGGGTACGAGTTCCATCAAAAACATCACAACCAAATTCTAAAATTTTTCTCCAAGGCAGATTTTGATTCACTTCGGTTGAGTATTTTTGCACTCCAACCTGCAACATTAGGAAGCAATATGGAATCAAATGACTATAAAACTGAACTTACTGCATTTCAGACATTACGAACAATTCCTACTATTTTTCCTACTTCATGCTCCTGTTTGATCTGGCAGCGGATGTTATTTATCATCAACAATTGCATTAGAATTTGTTCATGTTGAAGGATTTAAATATTTAAGTTACACCCTCTCTAACAACTTAAGCTTTTAGAGTAAATGGTTGTTAACATCGTCTCAAAGCCAAAGGTCTCGAACTCAAACCTCACCTCACCGTCAGCCAGATAATTAAAATTGAAACACATGTTGGACCAAAACGAAGGGCATGCGTGAGGAGAAGTGTTGAAGGATTTAAATAATTAAGTTACACTCTCTCTAACAGCTTAAACTTTTGAAGTAGATGGTTGTTAGCAGTTCCCAAATTCACAAACAAGATTTGCATATAAGATAATATAGCCTTATACTTGAATCCAGAATCTTGACATATCTGTCAAAAACAATCTCTTCATACCAAATCAACATGTGCATAAAATTCATTTTTAAAGACAAATTCATATGGGTTGCAGATACTCATGGATAAATACTACTCTGATATGTCTTCTAAAAAAAATCCTTGAGTGAATTAGTTTATTTAAGAAACCTAAAGATGCGTTTAATAACTTGATATGTACACTAGAATAGAATCTTCATATTACCACCACTATACATAAGAAATAAAAATAGTATTGACATTACTTGTTATCCTATATTCCTATGGATACTATGGTCTTCAGTGTATAACCTTCCTTCTAAGGTTATGAAGATGACAGATGCAAAAGTCAGAGGATTTCTGTTGGGATCTAAGGAGGATAAGAAGAAAAGGCATCAGCTGAAAGGGTCTTCTGCTACTCTCTTCCCAATAATGAAGGTGGGTTGAGAATTAGGAAAGTTGCAGATATCAATTTTGTTTCTAAATGTCTTTTGGCTTGGAACTATTTGCAGGTTAAAGACTCTATATAGGTTGCATGGTTCAAGGCCAAATATGGAAGGAGATCTTCTTACTGGGATTGTAGTGTCAAACCTTCAGATTCAGCTATTTGGAAAATTATTGTATCTGTGAGAGATTTCTTGCTTCAAAATCTGGAGTTCAAGATTGGGAATGGTAGAAGTTTTAAGGTCTTTTTGGATCTTTGGGTTTGATGGCAAGACTCTGTTACAAAGATATAATCATAGATTATGGTTACAGTTTGGATTGCCTAGGAACTGTGCTATAATTGTTGATAACCTTTGGTGCTTTCATTGCTATCCTTTGGTGTATTTGGAATGAAAGAAATTGCAGACTGCAATGGTTCCTTGCCTAGCTCTATGCTTCTGTTGCAACTAGTGCTTGCCGTGAAACTTTTCAATCTGTCAGATTGAGGCTTCAAGATTTGCAGCTGTTATTTTAATTTTGCTTTGTTTGTTGATAGTACTGCAGTTCTTTTAGAGCTGCATTTTATGTTTTAGATTTTGTTTCTATGTTTCCTTGGTGAAGGGATGCCTTCGCTTTTCTTTAATCTTTAAAAATAAAGATAATTTTTTTATAAAATAAAGTATAAGAAAATTTTGGTACTTGATAATTAAATTTTGGGAAAATTACAGTCTAGTCCTACTTTTGCAATTTAAAGACAAGTAAGCCCTACAAAATTTTTATAAGGACAAAGATGTCCTACTTTTGGATTTATTTTCAAATAAGTTCAAACTTGAACTTTTTTATTCAATTTTTTCCAGTATAGCCCTTTAATAATAAAGTACCAATCATTAATGACAGTCATCCATTTTTTACTAAAACACTTTAAATATTGTAGATTGTACCAAATTAAAAATATAATCAAATTTGTCATCCATTTTTTCCTTAAACACTTTAAATCCTGTAGACGTTACAAAATTTAAAATATAATCCAAATTTGTTCCCAATTACGAAAGTCGGTCAATATGTAAACTTAAATTCCAAAACTGCTCATCAAGAATTCCATGTTTGTTTCACTGTATTGCTACACAACAACTGAAATTCCAGAATCCAGTTACACCTGAACTTAATGCTTGTGGAATGAGTTTGCTCTTGGAATGGTTCGTATCGCACATTGGTTGGGATGGGTTAATGATGAATGCAAACTAAAATTAAATCCCAAATCAAAAACATAAAATTTTAAACAATAAGTGGATACAAATATTACATACTTAAATCACTTGAAAAAATGGTGGATGATGGTGCAAGAAGAAGATGTGAGAAGAATATGAAAGCACGAAGAGACTACCCGAAGACGCAAAGATCAAGGGAAGGGGCGAAACAAAAAAATTGTAAGAGTGATGAATGAAAAGGGTAATAGAGGAATTATATAGTTTATAGAACTGTTTTGGATATAGACTTAAAAAGTAGGACTCATTTGTCCTATAAAATTTTTTAGGACCTATTTGTCTTTAGGGTACAAAAGTAGGACTAGGCTGTAACTTTCCCTTAAATTTTCTGCAACTACTTTGCATAACTGTATGTGTTCATATGTCTTCATATTCATGAGAGATAGGGAGAGAGAGAGAGAGAGGGAGAGAGAGAGAGGGAGAGAAATGTGTATACTGTCTCACTATTACTTCAGCCCTCTAAATAGGGCTTATATAAAGAACAAGGGTTAGACACCCTAATTACACAATTACACAATAATCCTAACTACTATGGGTAATTACATAATGACCCAACATTATAAAGGATATAAATTCTAACACTCCCCCTCAAGCTGGAGAATATATATCAAGTAATCCCAGCTTGGAATAGATAGTCCTTAACCGATTATGACCCAGTACTTTGGTAAACATATCAACTAGTTGATCTTAAGACTTCACAAATGGAGTAGAGATGCTACCACTTAATATTTTTTCCCGAGTAAAATGACAATCAACCTCAATATGTTTAGTTCTCTCATGAAACACATGATTCGATGCAATGTGAACTGCTGCTTGGTTATCACAGAACAATGGAGTAGGAGTTTCAACTGTCAACCCAAGTTCTTTTAGAAGATTTTGTATCCATGTCACCTCACTAGTGGTATGTGCCATTGCCCTGTACTCAGCTTCAGCACTAGATCAAGCTACCACCGTTTGCTTTTTATTTTTCCACGTAACAAGATTTCCTCCTACAAATATGCAATAGCCTGTAGTAGATCTCCTATCTGAAGGAGAACCAGCCCAGTCAGCATCTGTAAAACCTTCCACCCTGAGATAACCGTTTGATTTGTATAGTAACCCAAAACCTGGAGCTCGCTTGAGATATCAGATAATCCGAAGAACAGCAATCCAATGTGGCATTCTAGGAGCTCCCATAAACTGACTTACAACGCTAACTACATATGAAATATCAGGTCGAGTGATAGTGAGATAAATTAATTTCCCAACAAGGCGGCGAAATCTGCCTGGGTCATTAAATAGATCACCCTCATCAGACACAAGTTTTGTATTTGGATCCATAGGAGCATCAACTGGACGACCACCTAACATACCCGTTTCTTCTAGCAAATCCAACACATATTTTCGTTGAGATAAACTTATACCTTCCTTGGATCTAGCAACTTCAATACCCAAGAAGTACCTAAGTTTACCCAAGTCTTTAGTGTGGAATCGATTTTGCAGAAACAACTTCAACTTAGCAATGCCTGCAGAATCATCACCTATGATCACAATATCATCTACATACACCACAAGAAAAATGAAGCCAGCTTTAGTGCGCAGGTGAAATACCGAATGATCGGTCTGGCATCTGTTAAGACCAAATTCTAATGCCACCTCAGAGAATTGGAGAATTTCCCAAACCAAACCCGTGGAGATTGTTTCAATCCATATAGGGCCTTTTTAAGACGACAAACAGTGTGACGATACTCCCCCTGAGCAACAAACCCAGGTGGTTGCTCTATATAAACTTCTTCAACCAGGTCACCATGTAAGAAGGCATTTTTGACATCCAATTGGAACAACGGCCAGTTATAATTGGCAGCAATGGAAATAAGAATCTGAATAGAAGAAATCTTAGCAACAAGAGAAAAAGTCTCACCATAGTCAACACCATAAGTCTGAGTGTACCCCTTTGCCACTAGGCGAGCCTTCAACCGCTCAATAGACCCGTCTTGAAGGTATTTAACTGTGTAGACCCACTTACAACCAACCGGTTTGGAGCCCGAAGGTAAGGGAACAAGATCCCATGTCCCATTACGATGAAGGGCATCCATTTCAGCTACCATGGCTTGCCGCCAACCCAAATCAGAGAGAGCAGCCTGCAAAGTCTTTGGAACAAAAGTAGCAGATACTTTGGATAAAAAACAAGATAAAGAGGATGAAATATGACGATATAAGACAAAGTTAGAAATGGGATGTGCAGTAACACACGACCGAATACTTTTACGAAGGGCAATAGGCAAATCATCAGGTAAAGTCGCCGGATCCGAAGACTCTGAAGGAGATGGAGGGAGCGAAGTAAGCAGGCGAGGTCGTCGAGTATAAACTTGCAATGGGACAGCAGAGCGAGGAGGTGCGGAAACAGGAAACTGAGAAGGAACCGATGGCAGAGGTGGCTCAGAAGTAATATCGAGAGGAGTAGTAGAATCAAAAAAATATGGGATAGACTCAGAAAATGTTACATCAACACTAGTGAAATAGCGTTGGAAATGAGGACTGTAACAACGATAGCCCTTCTGAGTGCGTGAATACCCAAGAAAAACACATTTAGTTGCACGAGGGTCGAGTTTATCAAGACCAGGTCCAAGGTTATGGTTTTAGCACTGACAAGGGCATCCTATTAATAAGATGACATGCCGTAAGAACAGCATCACTCCAAAAACGTTTGGGAACATGCATATGAAATAAAAGGGCACGATAGACTTCCAGAAGATGACGATTTTTACGTTCAGCTACTCCGTTTTGCTGCGGAGTATAAGTACAAGAAGATTGATGAATGATGCCTTTAGCATGAAAATAAGTCTCAAAAGGGTCCGAGAAATATTCTTTGGCATTGTCAGAACGTAAAACTTTAATGGAACACCCAAATTCAGTTTTGATTTCTTTACGAAATATTTGAAAAATTAAAAACATCTCAGAACGATTTTTCATTAAAAACAACCATGTCATCCGAGAATGATCATCCACAAAAGTCACAAAATAACGAAATCCATTAATAGAAATATGTTTCATTGGTCCCCATACATCTGAATGAACTAATTGGAAAGGACTAGCCACACGATTATTAGCTCTTGGTTTAAAAGATACACGACAATGCTTACTAAGCTGACATGTTTCACAAGACATAGACTCAACATGGCTAAGACTGGGAACTTGATGCTGCAGAACTGATAGTGAGGGATGGCCGAGACGACAGTGTCACTGGAAAGAAGACAAAGATGATTGAAGAGCCATGGGAGATGGTGCAAGATCGAAGTAATACAGGCCACCTACTTCATGTCCCGTACCAATCCTCTTCTTCGTCTTGAGATCCTGGAAAAGACAACATGTGGGATAAAATGCTACAGAACAGTTAAGAGATTTAGTAATTTTACTAATAGACAACATATTAATAGGGAATTGGGGAACATATAACACAGAGGAAAGGGACATAGAAGGGGTAAGATGAACAGTTCCCAAACCCAAGACTTTAGTTGATGATCCATTAGCAAGAGTAACACTTTGAGAGGAAGGAACAAACTGAAAATCAAATAAGAGATGAGAACTACCAGTCATGTGATCGGATGCGCCAGAGTCAAGAATCCAGGGACTCTGACTAGAGGACGAAAGACATGCAAGGGCACTACCTGATTGAGCTAAGGACCCCATGGAAGATGAGGTGGAAGTCCGTTGTTGAGACAGAAACTGAGCATACTCATCCCGGGTAATCGTGACCATAGCAGGCTCAACAGCCACATGTGGAGCAGTGGATGTGGCAGAGAGAGAAGAATCCCCATCACTAGAAGTCACTTGATGTGCATAGGAAGAAGGTGATGGTTTCCCGTGAAGATCCCAACAGTAATTGACAGTGTGATTAGTAAGACCGCAGTGAGTGCAAATTTTTGAGTCTCTGCCTTTGCCTCGACCACGGCCACGGCCATGACCACGGCTGAAATGACCACCACTACCACCTCCACGAGAATACTGAAAGCCACCCTGGTTTACAACTAAGGCAGAACGTTCACTGTTAGAAGGAGCAGTGACACCACTGGAAGCATTTCCTGAAGCGCCACTATATAAAGTAGCACGTTGGAGTCTGGATAACATATCAAGTAGAGAGGGAAGTGTAGAGCTACCCAAAATCTGTGCACGAACAGGTTCATACTCTTGGGACAATCCTGTGAGAACCCAAACAACATTAAAATCCTCACGTTGCTGCTGTATGCTTTTCACATCAGAGGTGATGGGCTGATACATATTCATTTCTTCACACAGTCCCATTGCCCGTGAGAAGTATTCTTCTAAACTATGAGTCCTTTGCTGGAGGTCAAAAAATTGTCTACACACCTCATAAACTCTGGTTATATTACCAGCACCAGAATATAATTGTTGGAGTTGGGTCCATATCTCCTTGGCAGTGTCCAGATATAACAAGTTGGAGCTAATATGAGGTTCGATACAATTCAGCATTAAAGAGATGATCTGAGCATCCCTTTGTTCCCATGAACTAAAATTAGCATCACTGCTTTTGGGTTTATTTTGAACCAAATGATCGCCAAAGCCTTTGGCTTTCAGGAAAATGGCCACTGACTTGGCCCATAAAATGTAATTTTTTCCATTAAGCTTGACTAAAGTCATGGGAGGATTAAAGGATGCAGGAGATAGGAGATCTGAACTGGAAGCCATGGAGAAGATTAAAAAAAAAAAAAAAAAAACGAACTTGGGAAAAATGCAGAATCGGAATCGGGTCGGATCTGGAACCTGATCGGTCTAGGTAACTGGATTGGATCAAAACCAGGTCTCTGTTATCCCAGTTTTAGTAAACCAGGATTGGAATAGTGTAGCCGCGTAACCAAACAGGGGTGTTCTTCTTCACAATCCCACCAACAAACTCCGGCAAGCACACAGCGGTGACACCACACAACCTCTACAACTTCCGACCAAGAAAAAAAAGCAGAGATGAAGCTTCACCTTTGCAAACGACGACAGTGGGTGTCGGCGATCTTGCTGACGATCGACGCGGCAACAACACAAGCGGCCAAGGGGCTTCAGATCTGACGGCGACTAAGGAGGCTGCAGATCTAATGACGACCAAGGACGATGACGACTTTGGGTGATGTTCTCAACCTACCGGCGACACGAACTTCCGGCAAAACCACCAACGACATACTCACGATTCCAGTCACTCTCATACAAGGGCAACACACTTGTCATTTCCCACACCCATGAATTTATACTGCTCTGATACCATGTTCATATTCATGAGAGATAGGGAGAGAGAGAGAGAGAGATTGAGAAAAATGTGTATACTATCCACTATTACTTCAGCCCTCTAAATAGGGCTTATATAAAGAACAAGGGTTAGACACCCTAATTACACAATTACACAATAACCCTAACTACTATAGGTAATTACATAATGACCCAACATTATAAAGGATATACATTCTAACAATATGAAAATTCCATGATACAATTTCCCTATTTAGGATTAGATTAAGGACTTCTTTCTTTTTCAGATTTTACATATATTACCCTTAGCTTTTAGTGAAACCTAGATTTCTGGAAACCATATGGATTTTAATTAATGCATTTATAGCTTAAATATTGCATCTAGATTTAATGAATATCCTCCTAGTCTCTTCACATGTTTTGTCAAGTTCTTAGAGTAATGGTCCTTCACCAGTGAGTTAATCAACCAATGAGGTAAAAAGCTCTTTTAACTCCTGGAACTTGCAACAAACTATCACTAGAGTTAGGTTCCTCGGAGAGAAAGGATTTGACTTTTCACAAAGGAATATAGTGCAGTTCTAGTAAAACTCTTAGCTTATAGCCTAGCGGCCCTAGCCATTGAGCAATGGTGACCAACCATTGTCATGGGTTCATGACAGAATCAAGCGTTCTTGGAGAAGATGTGCAATCAAATTTATCCTAGAAGGTCACAAGATGAGGAAGTTGATTTGATTCAACAGGTTGTCTTGTTGCCTTATGGACATCAGCTTATAGCCTAGCGGCCCTAGCCATTGAGCAATGATGACCAACCATTGTCTTGGGTTCATGACAGAATCAAGCGTTCTTGGAGAAGATGTGCAATCAAATATATCCTAGAAGGTCATAAGATGGGGAAGTTGATTTGACGGAACAGGTTGTCTCGTTGCCTTATGAATGTCAGCTGGGTATTGCTTGGAAACTTGAATCATTTGCTGTGGAGGTTATCCTCGTTTAGTTCTATAAAATCATGATCTAAGAAAGAAAGGAGATAAAAATAAATAAATAAGACATTAAAATAAGAGAAGAAGAAGACATTACGTGGGATGTGCGCTTTAGGCGTTCCTTTCAGGATTGGGAGCTGGATGAGGTGTGTGTTCTTTTGGATTTGTTGTATAGGCAGGAGGGAGTTGGCAGAGGTAGTGACGATCTAATATGGATTCCCTCTTCCCATGGTCGTTTCGTAGTGCGATCTTTGCTTTTATGTTTATCTAATTTTGTTAGTCTTGACTTCCCGTGGAAGACCATTTGGCGTTTTATGGCTCCAACTAGGGTGGCAATCTTTGTTTGGACTGCTGTATGGGGTAAGATATTGACGATTGATAATTTGAGGAAGCGGGGTAACTGTTTTGTTAATTGGTGTTGTCTATGCAAGCAAGATGGTGAGTTAGTTGATCATATCCTTATGCATTGTCCTGTGGAGTACGATTGTTGGAATCTTATTCTTGGGTTGTTTGGTATGCATTGGGTAATGCCACGTTCTTCTAAGGATTTGATTCAAGCTTGGAAAAGATGTCGTGTGAGTAGAGGTGTACGCGATTAGTGGAGAATTGTCCCACATTGCGTTTGGTGGTGCATCTGGAAGGAGAGGAATGGTAAAATGTTCGAAGGAAAGGAGTCGTCCACAGCGACGCTAAAACTTCATATTATTCATTTTCTTTTCAATTACATGAAGAGGTGCTCCTCTTCCGATGATTTAATTATTTTTTTGGATTCTTTGGGGCCTTAGTCCCCGGTTCCCCTTCTGTATGAGGGACGCATTCCCCTTTTGAACGCCTTTTTATTTCATTATTACTTATCAAACAATAATAATAATAAGAAAAGAAGAAGAATATAACGAACTTTTGCCTATCAGCATGTCTCAATATATTTGTAACGGAATTATTCATGAAATCCTACAGAAAATGGGATCCTCGGTGGTAGCGACTATGAATAGGATTCTCCACTTTCCTTACTACCTTCTCCACAATTATCAAAGGGAATTGAAGGACCATGTAAGTTTTGGCAATTGGACCTGGTTCACTCTTTGACCGACTTGAAGTTGTCTTTTTTATCTTGTACAGTAATACAATCATCTAGTGAAATATAAATGTTTGGGTTAAGCAGACAGAAGAGTTGGTAAACTTATAGCAAAACAAAGGAAAAAATAATAGAAAGCAATAAGATAAATTTGGATACCTTCCTAGTGTTTTTTTTCTTTCTTTTTCTTTTTACATAATTACTTCCCTTATGATGAAAAATAGCATTATTTTAAACCTTATCAGAGTTAAATAAACAAAAGAAGGGGCATGTCCAGAAACTCATACCTTCAACATTTCTTCCTCCTCTTCTGTCCATGGTCGGTTCTTACGCCTCACTTTAGGAAAAGTTGGTTTTTTCCTGCAAATCAGAAAAGGGGGAAAAGCGAAATTACAAATAAAACAGTACTTATAAACAAAAATTAGTACTACATCAGTGCCGGTTAACAACAAAAATATATAAGTTTTGTCATGAATCTATAGTAGTAACTCACTGCCGTGTAGTAGGCTTTTGGAATTGCCTAGGCTTCTTCGTTATAGTATTCTCTTCATTCTGCTCTGAAGTGATATCCAGTTCAAAAGATAACTTCCTTGATGATCTCCTCGGAGTAGCAACATTCTGAGATAACTTCCTTTGTGATCTCCTCGGAGTAGCAACATTCTGAAGATGATGTACTACACTTCGCTTTTTAGCTTTAACACGCACCTGTGATGCAGGATTTCTTCCACTAGAGGATACAATAGTGTCCTGTACTCTTTCCTGCATCTCTTCTTCTACTGTTCTGCCTTCATTCTTCTCCAAAATCTCAGCACGTTTCCGTTTCCCTTTGGTTGGTATGTGAAGTGCAACATCCAAGTCGTCTTCCACAGGGGAAGCACTTAAAGGCTCTGCTTGCTGTTCATCTTCAACTACTCTCTCATGTTGGTTGTCATCAACTTGTCGCTGATGGTTGTCATCAACTTGTCTCTGATGCTCTGCTTGAAACCTTTCCACAGCCTGCACCATTTTAAATTGATGTCCTGGCTGCATCTCTTCTTCTTCAACTGTTCTGCCTTCATTCTTATCCAATATCTCTGCACTTTTCTGTTTCCCTTTGGTTGGTAAGTGAAGTGCAACATCCAAGTCTTCTTCCACTAAGGAAGCACATAAAGGCTCTGCTTGCTGTTCATCTTCAACTAATCTCTCACGTTGGTTGTCATCAACTCGTCTCTGATGCTCTTCTTGACACCTTTCCGCAGCCTGTACCATTTTAAATTGATGTCCTGGCTGCATCACTTCTTCTTCTACTGTTCTGACTTCATTCTTCTCCAATATCTCTGCTTGTTTCCGTTTCCCTTCGGTTGGTATGTGAAGTGGAACATCCAAGTCTTCTTCCACTGAGGAAGCACCTAAAGGCTCTGCTTGCTGTTCATCTTCAACTAATCTGTTGTGTTGGTTGTCATCAACTCGTCTCTGATGCTCTGCTTGAAACCTTTCCGCAGCCTGCACCATTTTAAATTGATCTCCTGGCTGCATGTCTTCTTCTTCAACTGTTCTGCTTTCATTCTTCTCCAATATCTCTGCACTTTTCTGTTTCCCTTTGGTTGGTATGTGAAGTGCAACATCCAAGTCTTCTTCCACTGGGGAAGCACATAAAGGCTTTGCTTGCTGTTCATCTTCAACTAATCTCTCATGTTGGTTGTCATCAGCTCGTCTCTGATGCTCTGCTTGACACCTTTCCGCAGCCTGTACCATTTCAAATTGATGTCCCGGCTGCATCTCTTCTTCTTCTACAGTTCTGACTTCATTCTTCTCCAATATCTCTGCACTTTTCTGTTTCCCTTTGGTTGGTATGTGAAGAGCAACATCCAAGTCTTCTTCCACAGGGGAAGTACACAAAGGCTCTGCTTGCAGTTCATCTTCAACTACTCTCTCATGTTGGTTGTCATCAACTTGTCTCTGATGCTCTGCTTGAACCTCAGCCTGTACCATTTTAAATTGATGTCCCCGCTCGTCTTCTCTACAATGTTTACCACCACTACCAGAGACAATAATAGAATCGGGGTGTATTTGTTGTTCAACCACTATCTCATTCTGATCACGATCATCTAGTCCTGCATTGTCCTCATTCCTGAGCAGCCCAACATTATTCCGTTCTTTCACTGATGATATCTCAACTGCTTTAAAAGGCAAAATGCTTGTCGTACATTCAGGATCACAATTCCCTTGTTGTTGATCTTCCCCTGTTTGAACAAAATGGCCTGTCTCTCCCATGACATTTGATAATTTTGGCTCTTTACCCTTAACATTCTCAGCTTTTTGCTTTTGTTGCTCACTGTCGATCATTCCTTTATCTAGAAAATCTGATAAAGCTTTCTTCGCCAACATAGCCTTTTTCTTTGCTTTACATGATTCAAGTATTGCATGTTTGAATATACAATAGGGGCAATAGAAGTTTCCAAGGTCATCAAATCGAGCTGAACAGCACATGCACTCCTCATGAACAGATAAAGGACAGCCCCTTTCACTACAAACCAACACCTTGCCACCTTGATCACATTTTATACAAGTCTCTTTTCCAGTCCAACCCATTTCCAAATAACCTTTCTCAACTGTGTCTTGAGGGCTCAAAACACCTAAATTTTCTGCAAGAACAACTCTCTGGACACTTATAGTATGAGTTAAGACACGCACCATCCATCATCATTGCCATCACTGGAAATTCCTGGTACTTTACAAAGCACGCTAACATTATTAGCCTAGTTACTGAAATATCATTGTGAAAAGAATCAGAATTTCTTTTAGAATAGAGGACAAAAGTGCATGAGGAATACTCTGAAGCAAATCAGTAGAACATTGAATAACGTAAACAACACACACCCTCAGATATAAAAGATTTGTGAAGCACCACTAAATTTTCATCTCGGCATTCTGTGGCTTGCTTTCCCAAAGCACTTACTATGCTTGTGAAAGCAAAATTTGCATTGAACTTTCACTTCAAAAGCATAACTTAGGAATAAAAACATTTAAATTTCTTCTGAGAACATAGGTTGCTTTGAATACTGCTTTGAAAATCATTAAAAGTGCAAATTGGACAGTACTTAAAAACTGTGATATGTCATATGGTAGGAAAATGTAGTACCTACGATATTTCAATAAAAAAAAATATTTGAAATGAGAGATTAACTCGATTATAACTATCAAAGCTGAAAGCTTTCAAGCAGAGACGTGACGGTTCAAAAAGATAAACTATGATACTAATTCATTCAAAACGAGAAACATCAATACCGTAAAGGGTCACATATATATGAATATATTTGTGTGTGTATTGTAGCAAATACCAAGAACAATGATAGGTATTGTAGCAAATACCAAGAACAATGATATGATATTTGTATCGTAGCAACTAGCAAAGATAGGCCTCATTTGGGTGCGCTGTAATGGAATGATTTATAAATTAGTTTCTCCAAAATATCATTGCTTGTAATATATCAGTTACATTAAAACGGAATTGCATAAAACCAAGCATCCAAATCAAATATTGATAATCCATCGTATTAGAGAACATAATTTAGTGAAAGAGAGAGATTGAAAATCAACCACGGATGCAAGGGAGAGAATCAACTCAGTACAACAAGAGTACCATAGAACTCGACAAAATTAAATAAAAGACTTTAAATTATTATGAAGAACAGAAATTTACCTAAGACTTCTAATCACTTCTACCTTTTTCAAAGCTCCGATTGAAACCCAAATCAAAATTTCAGAAATCTTGCAGAATATAGTATTCATGAAAATATAGTATTCAGCTCACTCTTGCAGAATATAGGACACAAACACAAGAACCTCGTGAACAATAATTCATGGAAGAGAACCTCAACAAGCCCAAAAAAACAAAAGAGAATAAATTTTGCATTTACAATAGAAGTTTGGTTACAGTCAGGAATATATTTATACAAATTGGCAAGTGGAGAGTATATAATATACATATATATATATATATATATATATATATATATTGAAGAGATAAAGAGGAGAGAGAGGGCGTACCGTCACATTGCGAGAGAGGAGATACAGAGAGAGCCTGCCAGATCTGTCTGAAAAGAATGTGTATGGTTTTTTTGTTTTATTATTTTAATTTAGTGGGTATAGAATGGCCATAAGAAGAGGAATGGTCATTCCAGATTTTCAATTTCCCCTTTTTCCAACCATTTTGAATCTTTGATTCATTGAGTTCGAGAACGATGCCTAGGAAATTAGGGTTTTTTCACTCCAACGGCCGAATTGAAACGGAATTGTCCCCGTGTTTTTCTCTCCCACGTTATTATTGAACTCTTTATGGCCCACTTTCTACTTGGAGAGTTCTAATTGGACCACATGGCAAGAAAAACTTATGATTTATCTTTTTTACAAGAAACCCCCTCGTACCATCAATTTTTTGCATATGGCCCCCTACCGTCAATATGGCATCAACAGTACGATGACGGTGATGAATTTTTTCAGCAGTATGAATACTACGTGTAACAAAAACACGCTTCTAGAAAACCAATATATATATATATATATAATCTAGCATTCCCATTGGTTAGAAAAAAAAAAAAAAAAATCTAGCATTCTTATATTTTGTGCATAATACCCCTATGAACTATTACATTTTGTTACAAATACCTCAATGCCTAAATTATATTTCATTAAATAATCATAATATTTCTTATTGAATCACACTTAATCTATTTTTCTTATTGAAATAAATTATGAAAAGAAATCATACTAATTTGATGACATATTATTCACTAAATTTGCATAAATTTATTTTTAATTTTTAAAATTAATTACTTAAATAAAAATCTTACGTAGAAAATTTAAAAACAATTTAATTAATTTCTTAATTTTTTTATTAGTATATTACATGAAAAAGAATGTATTTTTATTTAAGCAAGTTATTAATTTTTCATCAATATATTATATGAAAAAGAATGTATTTTTTTACTGTAAAAAAAAATGTTTAAACTAGATATAATAAGTTTTGTTATAAATAATAAAATTTTAATATTAAGTTAATCATTTTAAAAAATGGTAGTTACAAATTTTTTTTATGATAAATTGATACTAATAATAAACTTAAGGTAAATAGTATAATTATTATTTAGATAAGAAAAAAGATATTAAAAATAATCTAATAAGAAATAAAAATTTTAATAAGAATGGATAAAGCGATGAGTTTGGACAACTTGGACTTGGATGATTTTGTTTTCTGAGCTCTTTCATATGGGCCATTTTTTCTGGACAATTTGGACTTGGATGATTTTGTTTTCTGAGCTCTTTCATATGGGCCAATTTTTCTGGACAATTTGGACTTGGATGATTTTGTTTTCTGAGCTCTTTCATATGGGCCAATTTTTCTGGACAATTTGGACTTGGATGATTTTGTTTTCTGAGCTCTTTCGTATGGGCCATTTTTTCTGGTTTTGGTGGTTACTTTTTGTTTCTTATGGCATATGGGTTTGTGGCCCATAATACCTACTGGGGAATGCCCCATGTATAAATGTAATTACTCTCGTTTGCAATTTAACTCCCTCTTACTTACCTAAAAAATAATAATAATAATAAAAATAAAGAGTCCAATATATAGTATTTTCGAAATATTAAAAAGAATTTTCACTGTTGCATCTAACAAAGTAAATGCTTGGGAGACATTCCTAACAAACTATAGGAAAGTATAGGTTAGAGTGAATCAATCAAATTAGTTGACAAGGTATTCAATTATTGATGATATAAAGTCAATGTCACATTACATTGACATTATATCATCCACTAATATGCTAGCAAATACATATGACATTTAAAGCAACACAGGTATGTGTTTGCTTGCGATTGGCCAATATCATTACATACCATGAATGTCAATTTTAATTATTTTAGGCCTTGTTTGGTACACGTACTATTTTTTGTGTTTTTTCTATAGAAAATAATAGAAAAAACATGTTTGGTAAAAAAATATTTTGTTTTGCACAGTACAGAAACGTTTCATGAATAATGACAAAAAATCGAAACATCAATTTGATTTTTTTTTTTTTTCTTGAAAAAATTTTAAATGATATTTTAAAACTAATCATTATATTTTTTAAATTTGTAACACTTTTTTAACCAAACGTGTTTTTATATTTTTGCTTCAATAAAATCTTACAACAAATGGGCGTTACCAAACATACTTCCGAATACTATAATCACTATATAACAAAATATTTGTTTTATTTAGGTTTAAATAAAATGTTAACCAAACAGACAGGACCTTAGGCTTCGTTTGGTTAGATAGAAATAAACAAGAAAAGAAAAGAAATAGAAAATGAAAGAAAAGTGAAGTGAATGAAAACAAAAGTTGTTTTTTATCAAGTATTTGGTTAGCATGAAAATTTATTCAGGAAAATTGTATGAAAATATTAGTTTGTTAGTTTAGATAGCATGAAAATGAAAATAAAGTGATTGTGCATACCAAAATTACCCTTTTAATTTCAAATACTAAAAAAAAAAAAAAAATTGTGTTTGATGATGTCTATTTTTATCAAAGTTTTTAATAAAATGATGAATTATCAAATTTAATAATATAATTATTTATATTCATTTATATTGTTTAAATTAAAACAATACTTCAAGACTTCTTAAGTAGAAGTAGAACTAAGTCACTAACTATTCATTTAAGATAAATAAAGAAGCTTAAAAATACAAAATAAATAAATAAATTTTGGGCTCATGGACTCCTGAGCTTTCAACCAAAAAACACAAAAAGAGCAAAATATATATTATTTTCTGTATATATAATAGAGGTGTGTTTGTGTATCAGATACAATGTATATATTTGGAACAAAAAAAAAAATCGTCCAAATAGTTTTGCAAGAGAACATCTTTAGATGCCTTTTAGAAATCCACTAAAATAAAAATTGTTAAAGAACTTGCCTCTTTAAAACTTAGTAGAAAAGAAACCCAGTTAAAAAAGAAATAAATTAATTGTTTTACATGATTCAACTATTAGATAAAATAGGAACATCAAATAAATAAAAAAAAAATAGTTTTCATGAGAAAATATTATTTTCACGTGTTTTGTGTGAGAAAAGTTTTAGGGAAAATTAGTCTAATGCGGTAAACAATATTTTCTATTACGATTCTTTTTCCATCTATCCAGACTCTAAAAAAAATAAAAAAAAATTATCTTTTCTAGTTAATTTCATCTAACCAAACAAAACCTTAGTGATACAATTAGGAAAAACAGGATATGATATTAGTTTTTCTAAATATTTATATGAGAATGATAGTTTTTCTAAATATTTTTTAATGTTATATTATAATATCAGAGGTAAATTTTTTACGTGAGAAAATATATTTTCATTCCTTTTTTTTTTTTCCAAAATTTCCACAAATAATTTTTTATCAACTGGGAACCAACAAAAGTCAAATGTTAAAACAAATAGAATGTTAATTATTTCTACCCATTAAAAACAAAATTCAATTACAGTAATTAATAAGGGAAATAAATTAAAGATCATATTTCAGAAATGTAAAATGAGTGAGAAAAAAAGATATAATATAACAATATAATAAAAAATTAAATGACAAATTTAAATACTTTTCATTAATTGTTAAATTTAAATAACCTGATTAAAAATACGATTAGTATATATATTTTCATTTCTCACATCAACAATAACGAACCTGAAGATTCAAATTCATACAATCACAAGGATGGTTTTGGCCAATGGATTAGGAAAATGCTATACGTTACTAATTTTAATTTGTAATTTTATTTTGAATTAGTTGGTTGCTTATTTGTCAGCTTATTTCATTGTTTTGTGTGTTTTAAAAATAAATTTTTTTTATTTAGAAAATATCTTAATATGGGAGATTTAGAAGAAAAAAAAATTAGCAAAATTTACTATTATAGAATTCAAACCATCATATAACTTAATAATTTGAATTCAATTATGTCTGTATATATCTTTGTTTGTGAAACCTTTTGCATTAAATCTTCAAATAATTAAAATTAGAGAAGTGATAGATCTTCCGACCTCAATTGTCGATAATATAACGTGGTTGGGAATGAGTCGAAAAGAAATAGATGTTTACGGAAAAAATTTTAAGAATTCCAACGGGATCCAACCACGTTGTATCCGGATGAATAGTCGGCAATTAAGGTCGAAAGACCTATCATTTCTCTTAAAATTATTAGTTGCAATTTTTTACCATGAATGCGTGACCTCTTTTTTATTTTTCTCGAGAATAAGAACCCCCTTCTATTAAATCGTCAAATAATTTAAAATAGAAGCTACAATTTTTTATCACGAAAGAATTATCTCTTTCTCGTGAATGTATAAGAACCCTAATTTATATAATTCACTTAAAGCTTTTTATAATTGTATTTTGATTTAGTATTGTCTGATTAAAGTTAAATTTGAAAGAGATGCCCAATAAATATAGAGTAGTTGAAAAATATAGAGTGTGTGCGTATACGTGTATATATATATATATATATATTTGTATATGCAATAAAAAAAAAAAAAAGGGTAAAGTGTATTAAACCCCTCTGAACTATAGGGGTTTTGCAAAAACCACCTCTGAACTACAAAAAACTCCCCCTGAACTATGATTTTGTTGCAATTTACCCCATGACGTCATTTTCCGGTACCAGAAAAAAGAGAAAGATCCATTTACCCTTATCAAATACTGTATCGTTTTAACTTATACCCTTTTTTTTTTTCCTTCCAAAAGATGTGTACATCCCAAACCAGAGAGCCGAAAGAGAGAGAAAAAAAAACCAGAGATGATGGCGGCTTGTGCACGGAGGACTCGGCTATGATGAGAGCTTGTGGAGAGCTTGGTTGACTCGGCCATGAAGAAGAAGCTGGGCTGCAGATGGAGGCGACGGCGGTCTCAAGAGGGCTCGGCGGTGAACTATGGAAAATGGCGGTATGCTCGACTATGGATGGTTCGGCTATGGAGATAGCGGCATGGGCATTAACCTATAAAATTAACGCCGGCGAGGTGGGGATCCCAACACTGCAACCACCCACCACTAATACTGCGACGATGCATGGGTCCACCTTCCATGGCCGTTTCGACATTCTCTCTCTGCGACAGTGTTCCCCAATACGCTAATCTTCAATCTACGGCGAAGATGGGTCGTCTCACCCACGACGGCGAAGCTGACAATTAGGGTTTCGGGGCAAGGAGCACCGTCGGTATTGATGAATGGCTCTTAGGGTTTGATTGGAACCAATACGGCCTGTGGAAGAGGTCGGCGGTGGTGATGGGCTGGCTGTGATGGAGGTATGGCAAAAGAGACCCACCGATCCTAGTATCAAATTCCTCGGCTTCTTGTCCTATAAATGGGTTTGATTTTTTGATTTTTTTGATTTTGATTTTTTATTGTTGGTCTGTAAATCCAAACAGATCGACGGAGGAAGAACGGTGAATTAGTCAGGACTTGTTTGGGTGTTTCATGGGCATCACAGTCTTTTAAATTTGATAAGGGTTGTATGGTCATTTACATAAATTTGGCCACTCACTTGCAAGGAAATTGATCGGCCGGTTGCGGATTGGGTAAAGTGCAATAAACTGGATAGTTTAAGGAGATTTTTTGCTCATTTTGAAATTCAGGGGGGTTTTTAGCTCATTGGGGTATAGTATAGGGGGGTTTAATGCACTTTACCCTAAAAAATAATAGAGAAAAGCAAATTAGAGATAGAGAAATAAATCTATTGCAATTGTTCGTTGTTTTCCTTTTTCTTAAATTAACAATTTATTTAGTTTGCTAAAATATGAAATACAAATGTATAAAAGGATAATATATATATATATATATATATATATATATATATATATATATATATATATATAATAGAGGACATTAATGTCTTGTTAGTTATTGCCACATCAAATTTAAGATCAAATCATGAATTTTAATTCGAGATGTGTAGCATTGCTAATGAGAATGCTATACTTCACCAATTTTGATTTTGTGGTTTTATCTTAAATTGGGTGACTACTTATTTGTAGCTTATTTGGTTGCTTTGTGTATTTTTAAAACAATCTTTTTTATATAGAAAGTATCTTAATATAAGAAAGAGAGAAAATCCTAATATAACTTAATAACTTGAATTCAATTTTTACAAATCCTTTATATTAAATCTTCAAATAATTAAAAGTAGAAGTTTACAATTTTACTACAAATGAGTGACATTTTTCTCGTGAATAAGAATCATAATTTTGACTTAATCCTAATTTACATGATTCACTTAAAATTTTATATAATTGTATTTTGATTTGGTGTTTTCTAATTACGTTTACAATGAGTTAGACAAAATTGTTAGGCCTATTACATTTAATACATATCAAATATAAGAAAGTGGAACCTCTACTTTCTTATTTAATGCATTAATGATCAATCAAATTTAGTAAGTCTAGCAATTCTGCCTAACTAATATGTATTAAAATAAATGATATTAATGTTATTTAGCTATTGCCGCATCAGATTCAATATCATCACATCTCAAACATTTCAAATAAAATTTGAGAAAGAGGTCACTCATTTATGATAAAATTGTAGACTTCTACTTTTAATTATTTGAAGATTTAATATAAAGAATCTCCCAAAGTCATAATTGAATTCAAATTATATTAGAGCATCTTCAATCATTATGTATATTTTTTTTTGTAAATCTGATGTGTTATGCTGAATTTACACAAAAAAAAAAAAAAAAAATTGGATTATTTAATTTTAACTCCAACGTTGTTTTATACCTTTTGTGTAAAAATATATTTTTCAATAACAACCAACCATGTGTCATGCCAGGACTCCACATAACTTTTACAAACATATGTAATATATGGTTGATTATTTAATGGAATGAGAAAGAGGGATGAGAAAGGAAATTTGTTAATGTGGCAATCATCTTAACACGGCTGGAGATGGAAAAATTTTACACATCATAAATGACTGTGTATATTTTACATAAAGTAATATTTTAACATACCGCTAGAGATGCTATTAAGTTTTTCTCTCTTTTCTATATTAAAATCTTTTCTATTTTAAAAAGATTACTTTTAAAACACATAAAATCACAAATCAAAATTAAAATTCACAAAATATATCATTTTCCTTTCCTATCCTCACCTAACTAATTTTATCATTTTTTTTTTTTTTTTTCAATGTACCAAGAGCGTGCCGAGTACTTCTATTTCCTACTTTTGCTTATAGAAAGTTGCTGTCAAGTAGGCCAAACTTCAAATTTTTATTTATTTTTTTCCCCCTTTTATAAGACACGACATGCTTTCCTCCCGCTGATGCTTGTTAAAAATAGATTTTTTAAAGGGGCGTCATAAAATAGATTTTTTTTAGGGTGCCATAATTAGCCTCCTACTTGAATTCAAGTCATCTATTTTCTTACTTTTTCAAAGTCCTCTAATTTATTTTGTGACAAAGTCATGAGTTAATCAAGACAGTTGAGAGGGACAGAATAAACATAAACTGGTCACCATTTAAAAGAGTTTCGTAATGCTAATTTAATTTGTTAAGGTCTCCATGACAATAACTTCAACATTTGGTATGCTATTTTTAGGCTTGGAGGTCTAGGAAGCCCTCTCAAACATGCTTTTAACATTAACACTCAAATGGTTTGAGATTTGAGATTTTAAATATTATATTAATTTGAGTATTAATAATAAGGTTGTTTTATTATGATAATGGGATACGTAGTATTTAATTGTAAAAGTAATATTTCATAATTAGTTTTAAAAAAAGAAAAATCAACCCATAGAGTGAAATGAGTAATTTCAAAAGTAATTAAGGTAGGTGTCGTAAAATCTACAAAGCCAAACGCTTCTTCACCTTTGGTCTCTCCGATAGAAACGGAGAAACAATGTCAAACATACAGCCAAAGGACGGTTCTTCATCTCGTGTCCGTCCGACAATTACTGCTCCGCATATTTCTCTTTCTCTCTCTACATCGTATTTGTGGACCAATGCCCCTTCTATGCTCCTTTCGATTCCACCCCTGATAGCCACAATTTCAACTACCCACCAGTTTTATACAATTCTTCTGAAAACAACGGGACAAGCACCAAGATAGAAACCAGAGGGAAAAGGAATTGAATGGTTGGAAGAAAGACTTGAGACTTTTATCAGGTTTATTACTTTCTCTCTCTATTTTCGGAATTTTCAGAGAATTAGAGTAAGGGAATTTGTTTAGGCCTTGTTTTTATAGTTCAGGTTGTTTTGGTACTTTTTGAACTGTTTTCTATCGCAAATCTTGTTTGATTTGCAAAATTTAATTTTATTAATTTCTGTTTCTCATGGGTTTTTAGCCTCTTTGTGAATTCTCTGCCATTTTTATATTATTGCTTTTTAGTGATGATTTAATTCACGCTTTTGTGAATTTGGGATAAACAGTTATTCCTGTTTAGTTATGATCCTTTTTGCTTTCTGGTTCTACCTAAAGCCCAAGTAGATGCCTAACAACAATTTACAAATAACTCAGACCAACACCCATTTTGAAGTGATCATTTTACTCTCTTGTAATTTATATATAAACACACACACAATTGTATATATCTCATTCTGCGCGCACATAGTAGGTGCAGGAATGATACAATTTATGAAGCCAACCCTCATGATTTTTTTGATTGTTAAAAGGAAAAAAGGTGGAGCCATAACTCCGACAATTCAAGCTTCTGTTAGTCATTGACTACTACCGTTGAATAATTTCCTCTACTCTAAAATTCTTGCATAACTGAGTAATAGAGAGAGGACATTTCAAGTTGAGAACATGCGTAGCGCCTCATCACGTTCTTGTATGTGTAATGATCTTTAATTTGCCAAGCCTTATGACAGTATTCCGTCCAATTCATCATTCCACTCTTCTGCCAATTCTCGATGAGGATCCATAAAGTTTTTGTTGCTAGAAGACAGAGGTGGTGTCAGGAACCTAGATACAGCCATTAAAATGTTTATGAGATTATATATATATTTGAATTACACCGGGCCTTTTGTGATAATGACATTGGTTTGACAGATGGGATCAATAGAGGAAAGGTCCGCACTGGAGCTCGAAGACAAGAACCTTGTCAACCATGGGTCAATTGATAGAAAGATCAATTCTATTGATGACGGACCTTTCTCTATTGCTGGTTCAGAAAATATTCGTTGCAATGGTATATTGAAAAGAGTGTTCATCAGCATTAAGATAGTATTCTTCTGTGACAAGATCAACTTACTTGTACCTTGTGGGTTTTTGGCAATAGTGGTTGATGGAATGGCCAGCCTTCAAGTGAGTTGGATTTGTCTTGATCCTTTAACCTCTTTGGATTATTGCATAATAATATTCTTGTTCTGACTTGTATTGTCATTTTGATTTCAGGGTTGGGTCTTCTTGCTAACTTTACTGGGCATCATACCTTTGGCAGAGCGTTTGGGTTGGGCAACAGAGTAATGCTTTATGCATTTCATCTATTCTTATGTTGCATGGACAATATGGATATGAAAGTTATATACATGTCTAATGCATCTACTTTGCGACTCGTTTGTCTGATGAGGGAAGGAAAGAACACAATTGTAGGATGTCTATGTGTTCCTTCTTTAATGTGGTCTTCCTATTACATTGATCTTTATTTATTTATTTATTTTTTTAAAAAGTGATGTCTGACATTTCAATTTACATATGGTAGTGAGCAGAAGGAGGAACTGGACAATTGACAATTCAGTTGTGTAATCATATCCTATAAATGAAATCACAACATTTGAACACCAAAAACAGATCCACATTTGAACTGCTACCAATTTCTATTAAATTTTACAGTAATATAGATTGGCGAGTCCCTAATATAGTTGGCTTCCATTCAATGCAGGCAGCTGGCTTTCTACACTGGAGCAACAGGTATATATATATATATTTCTACTTTTTGATTTTTTGTACTTCTTTTTTTTTTTTCTACTTTCTACTTCGTTTTTATTTTTATTTTTTATTAATATAGTATATTTGATTCCGTATTATATAAGAGCTGCTGTTCTCCCTTTACTTTCCGGAAACGGATTCCCTCCAGCGGAATCTCTCTCCTGGATTCTGCATGCCTCAATCCTGCGGTTCAGTTTCAGCCACATCATCATTTTGCTAATCTCCATGTTGAAAATTGTGTTAGAACTGAATTTGTAAATGGTAAAGTTGAATAAGATGATGACATGGCTGCCGCTAAAACTGGACCTCGAGATTGAGCCCTGCAGGGTTCAGGAGAGAGATAACGCTGGAGAGGATCCCAATCCATATTTTCCCATAATTATCACCTGCTTCTGTTTTTTACTTATATTCATGGTTTTGCTAATTGGTTTTACAGTATTGATTGATATTAATGCAAATAAAAAAAGAAAAAAACCAAAATGCCTGTAGTTTAGAATGATTGGAATAAACTATACTCTTTGATACATATAATATGAAGGCGAATTTCATGCAGTCATGTCAGATGTTAGTCTAATTTGTCATTGGCATAAAACATACAAATTGAGTTTATATGGTGGACTCCATGCTAAAAGTACATGCAGGTAACACTAAAGTCTAAACAGTGTCTTCTGAACTATGAGGTCCATTTTAGGAATTACTTGGTTGGTCTAGAACAACCTTTAGGTTTTCTTTGTTTCTTGTGACCAGGTCTAGCTTGGCTTGTAGAAATTCAAAGCCACCAATGGTTGTGGTAGTGGTTACAGTAGCAATAATGGTAGTAGTATTAGTAGTAGCAGCAGCAGTACCAGTTTGTTCATTTCACAGTTATAAGTTGATCATTCTTCCCTATGGGGTAATTTACAGTGCCCCTGGTTTGAGCTTTGCAGTTGGGGGTCTACTAAATGCTACTTTTGGAAACGCGACAGAACTGATAATATCAATTCATGCAATGAGAAGTGGTATGATACGTGTTGTCCAGCAGTCACTACTGGGCTCAATTCTGTCCAACATGCTGTTAGTACTTGGATGTGCATTTTTCAGTGGTGGAATTGTCCATTCTGATAAGGAACAGGTGTTTGACAAGGTAGATTAATTGCCATTTTTATTATGGTCAGTATTTTTTTTTGTAATAATGTATACTTCAGTTTTGCATTCTCTCTTTCTAATATCTTGATTTTGGTCAACTGAATAGTTGGATACTTTTAAATCTATTTCGCAGGGAAATGCTGTAATGAACTCAGGATTGCTTTTAATGGCAGTCATGGGCCTTTTGTTCCCAGCTGTCCTTCACTTCACACACACTGAGTTGCATTTTGGGAAGTCTGAGTTGGCTCTTTCAAGGTTTAGCAGCTGTATTATGCTTTTGGCATATGCTGCCTATCTTTTTTTCCAGCTGAAGGGCCAAAACCATCAATATTCCCCAATTAACGAGGTTGGTCTCTTGGTTGTAAGAAACAAATTGTTTATCTTATTTTTTACAATGACATACTTAGCTTGCGATCAATTTTAGTCATTGAATATGTTATGGAATGCTCCTTTGATATCATATCTTTTCTCTATCTTGTATGTTCCAAGTCAAGCTTGGTTGAATTGTAATAACTTTTAACTCTCCTAAAATCTTTTATACAGAGACCATATTTCTTATTTTATAGAGCGAAGACAACCTTTTATAGTTTCAATTATTTACGCTCTTATCATAATGTTTTTTGATAGATTTCATTTATGCATCCTAGTTGCTTTTTGCTTCCAAGCTTCCCTCTCCAAAATCTCAAACCTCACGTACCACATTTTTCATCACCTACACACATTTTGGTGCATACTTTGTTACCGCTTAAATGAGAAGTACCAAAGAAACTAATTTATTCATTATAAATATGCTCTGTAACTTTCATATGATTAATTTATATGTTTTTTTTTTCTTCTCTTTTTGCAACTCTGCTTTTCATTAGCAGTATGCCGGTTCTGCTATTCTTTTATTGTAATGATATGAAAACTATCCTTATAATTTACTCCTTTTTATTCTTTCTTAGTATGAATCATTTTGTCTGATCAATGGTATAAAATCAGGAAGGGGGTCAGACTGATGGGAATTCAGATGATGAAGACGCTCCTGAGATCACCTTATGGGAATCAATAATATGGCTCACTATTTTGACCGCATGGATTTCATTCCTCTCAGAATACTTAGTTAATGCGATAGAGGTAGCTTTGTCATCTTAATTTATTCCTGTAGTTTTTTTTGGTACCATTTCTTTGCATGTTTTTTATTTATTTTTGCTGGCTATTCCAAAGTAATCTGAAGAAGAAAGTATATTCTTTTCCTCGTCTTTTGCTTGGTGAAGACCTTTTTTTCGATTTTGTCAGCATAATCAATGTCACGCATTCTAATTATTGGCCAGTGATTGTAGTTTTTTTTTTTTTGGCTAAAAAAAAGTGGCTTTAGCATTGTTCTTTTCAGACTGGGTGCATTCCAGCCTGTCGCGTTGGTGTATTACAATCCCTTTAAATAATGATGCCTTTCCACATCATCTAACTCACATCTCTCAATCTCATGTGGATTTCTTTTAATATAGTGAAATATGACAAGGATTTGCTACACAGAGAGAATACCTGAGTTGTATTTTTATCTGTACGCTTTTCTTATGGTAAACATGGTATTTTATTATTATATTTTTTCCAGGGTGCCTCTGTTGCATTAAACATTCCAATAGCATTTATAAGCGTCATCCTGCTCCCAATCGTAGGGAATGCAGCAGAGCATGCAGGTGCTATTTTGTTTGCCATGAAAGACAAGCTTGTAAGTTCTGTTTTGTTGACTTCCCATAATGACTAGGTGTCACGATTTATAATTTTTTGACTTGCTCATTTTTCGTGTAGGACATTTCCTTGGGAGTTGCAATAGGCTCATCGACCCAGATTTCCATGTTTTTGGTAGGCATTGGAAATTATATAGAATTATGGATTCTTACTGACTCTAGCTACTGTTGCAATTTGTAGGCATGTACTTCTCTAGTCTGATTATATCAGCTTCTAGTTTGTAGCTATATTGGTGCTAGAGATGCTTTCTTTAGTAAATTTTCTGTACTTTTTGAGCATGATAGTCTGAGCTTAATTCACTGTTGTATACATCTCATCAGCTCCTTGCCTTCTGATAAACATTGTTAGTCACTTGTAGAGTGCTATTTCTTATACTATGCTTTGAAAGATGAATTTAAGTGTTCAGTTATGAATAGATTCGACTGGTCATTTGGCCATAAAATTGGTTGCTTTCTGATATCACATGGTATGTTATTTGGAAAATTGACTGTCTACACCAATGATGGATATTTATTTTAGTTGCTACTGAATCAATGCCGACAGACTTTTGAGTTGATGATTGACTCACAGATCTTTGCATCAAATCTATTTTCAAGGCTCTCCAATAGTTCTTTTTTCCCTCGATAAGTAACCTCCAACAGTTATTGGTGTCCATGTGTGTTACATGTTTTAGTTGATTAATTATTTAATCTTTTTGTCCTATGTGTTCTCCTCTTTCACTAAACCGGCCCAGGATATGCTTTGAAGTTTCCATGCTATATTGACCGTTTTTGGTTTTTCAGTAATAGATGACAGGGTTCTGTAACTAGTATGCATATACAAGTGGCGTACTTGCTTTTCGTTATCTTAGGTTATCCAGAAAGAAACTTTTTAGTTCTTGAAACTAGGAAAGTGATTTGGCAGTTACTTACATAAATACTTGAGGAGAATTTATTTTAAGCCTTATGAAATATTGTTACCGCAACCATGTATCAAATAGGATGCACAGTACTTTCATATAGTTACAGTTGTATACTTAAATTTTGCAATCAGTCCTTATGACTATTTCACGTCATCATGAAAATAGTCTGTTTTTCCTTTATTACTAGTACTTTATATGCGACAGTAAAATTTGGTTAAGATCTATAAAGGTTTACTCCTATGACATCCTGATTAGCCATCATGGAGATCCCCAATTCCCTTGTTCAAGGTCCAAGTATAGCGTGCAGTCATATCACGGGCAATTAATAATTTATTTTATTTATTAATTCCCAATACAGCAAATTATAGATTCCATCTTAGTTAGCAGTGGATAATTAATACTTCTTTTACCTAATTGTTAATTATATCTTTTGAAATCATTTTATAATAGTTTTTTGATGAAAGTACACAAACATGCCAGTTGTAAGAAATAATTTAGTTCATTAAATGAACTTCTCATTTAACTTGCCCAGAAAGAAAAGTGACAGAGTTTCTATTCCATCAAGATCAAGTAGCTAATTTATCTATTTTTGTCTTTTGTTTTTATTTTTATTTTTTTATGAGACGATGTGTAGTTTGTGGTAAAAAAGAAGTCAGAATATCATTGAAACATGTTTAGTCTTTAGTGCAGGAAGTTGTATGCTTGTGAGAAATTTATAGTTAATAAAAGTCAAAGAGGAAAATGAAATACTTCTTAATCTATTAATCAAGAATTTTGGTCTCCCATTATTAGTTATAAGAGTCCATGAGTATCGTATGAGTTTGTAGTTCTGCATTTGACTGTACAATTAGAAATTCCTTTTTCTCAGTGCCTTCAGTTACAATGTAAATTTTTCTTTAATATAAATGGTATATTCTTCTAGTATACATAATCTCTATCCTACTTTTACTATGTTCATGTGTATCTTCCAGCTTGGAGGGGATAACTATTGAATTTTTTCTCAAAAGTATTGAAATGAATGATTATAAAAGAGCGAAAAGTAGTGCCCTTGGAATAAAATGTGCTATTGAAGGTTGGAACTTGTTTAGCAGAGGGTATACTTTCTTAGTTACTATTGTGAGATCGGTTCTGAAAATGCTTTTTTTTTTTTGGACACTAAAGATGCAGCTGGAACTTTTTGAATTTATTTTTATTGTGGAAGAACTTGGAGAGGTAGAGCAGTTAGATGTGGTTCCAAACTCTGTCTTGAGTTTCTTCTTAATTTGTATAGCTTTGTAGTTCATAGCATTTTTGTGGGTGGTCAATCCTTTTGAATTATTTCTGCACTTACCGTTATCATTTGTCATTATGCTTTATTAATGCCGTGTTGTTGCCTGTGCTTTAAAGGATTATGCGTTTGTTAAGTAAAAGGATCATTATTAACTTCTTGTCATAGATTTTATTTTCAAAAGTTGTTCTTTTTTCTTATGTTTCTTATGTTCTCTCTTTGGTTGATTTACCTTCTAACACCTGTCTTTTTTGCAATGACTGCAGATTCCATTTTGCGTGGTTGTTGGTTGGATCTTTGGGGTTCCTATGGATTTGAATTTTCAACTTTTTGAGACAGCCACTCTTTTCATGACTGTTCTAGTAGTAGCCTTCATGCTGCAGGTTTGTCCATTGAGAAAAATAGCAATTTTTTTTTTTCCAAGTTTTTTGCATTGCATTTATGGGGGAAAAATCTTATATAATATGTATATATATATATATTTTTCTTAAGAAGTTTGAGAGCTAGAATGTTTTAAGCTGTGAATAAACAGAAAATGGAAAGCACTACTAATACTTTTCACATGCTAATTGTGTTGAAGTTCGTATTATCCTATAAATACAAGAAGTTTCTATTTGATTTATCTTCTTATAGATTTGTTCTTTTTTCTAGTATGTGGAGAATCTGAACATCTCCTTTTCTCATGCAGGAGGGAACTTCTAATTACTTTAAAGGGCTAATGCTCCTTTTTTGCTACCTGATAGTAGCTGCAAGTTTCTTTGTACATAGAGATCCTAAATCTATACGTGAGTTAATATCCTCTTTGTGTGAATCATGTGGTTAAATGAAAGCTTACATAATTTTGTTTGATGAAAGCTTACATAATTTTGTGGAGTTAATACCCCCTTTGTGAATCATGTGGTTAAATGAAATCTTACATAATTTTGTTTGATGAATCTTGGTTATGGTTTTGACTTAAATATTTATATTTTTATAAGTTTCCTATTATGCTTGAACCTTAAATTTCATTAGTAAGTCGATTTGCTTTCTGATTGGAAATGGATTGGGAATGGACATTTCAAGTCATCTAGAAATACAGTCATCCATTGTATTTTATGCCTTTTTTATTATTGCTTTTTGTAGCATTTGAGTGATTTCAATGATGATTACATTACTTTATTATGATTTACATATGACAAATTTGACATCATGCTTTCTGATGTTTGGAATCTATCCAATTTTGTTTGCAATGACTGCGCATTAGTGGGTGATAAAAATACTAAAATAGAATGATATCTATACTGTGCAGGGACGGACTCAGAAGATTATGTGAGTGGGGGGCAATAGTGATTTTTTTTAGTAATTTCAGTGGGGGCAATAGTGAAATTTTATAGCTATATAATTCAAAAAAGAAAAATTAGCAGGGGTTTAATACTAAAAAAGAGAAATCGTACTTGATACTGTGGGATGTCCAACAAGTGAAATCTCCTTATTGTTGCAGTCTATCTCAAGTTCATTTTTCGCATCCACAATTTATACATTCTGTTTCTGAGGTCTTCCATAATTTTTTGTCTTTTATATGCCTGTAATATGACATCCTGGAAATGTGGTTTTGCAGAGGATAAGCCCATGAAAACTTAGATAATTTTGGTACCAATGGATTCATGTTGTAAACCTGCTGAAGCTCAAGGTCCATTTGGTGGATGCCCAAAAAACTTGTATTGTTTAAAGCCAGGACTGGTGAGGTTGTTCTGCTAAAGCTGAAGGTCCTCCTTTCACTGTATAATTTCAGAAATTGATGCATACCAAATTTGACTTCCACGACGGTCACTTGACTCACTTGTGCTTTTGTTTTTTCTTTCAATTATATGTAACAGCTGGATTTTAGTTTATTGCCCCTTACAACGATTAATTTGGGTACTCTAGCTATCGTGTTAGATTTATAGGAATTAGTGGCATAGATTGATGAACTGTAAAACAAGAGAAAAAAAAAAAAGAAGAAGAAGAAAAAAAGGCTATTCTTTTGTTTTTATACACTTACTTGTATACCATGACTTTGGATTCACTATCCCATAAATACCATTGTGCTTTGGTGCTCCTTTCTCATAGTTATATTTCGGTTATGAAATCTTTCATGGCAAAAGACCCCATTGGTTTTGGTCAGATTGCTTTACTTCGTTAAATGACATCTCCTAATAGGGTTTTTTTGGATTTTGTTTGTGATCGTCTCCTCCTTTTTCCCTTTCAGGTAGGATAAATAGTTAATTGTTTTTGAATATTTCTGGTGCATTTTGCATGATTTTACAAGAAAATGATTCCTGTTCGAGACTAGGAAAGGAAAAACCAAAAATTTAATGTTGCTTGAGTAATCTCCTTACTGCATAAAATGCGTTTAATATAACTTTCTATTTGTTAACTGTAAGTAGATGTTGGCAAATCTAATAGACTTGAATACGTAACCTCACGTCTGGTAGCCTGAGCCTGAGTATTTAATAGAAAGCTAGAGGGGACGACAGTTTGATTTGACAGGAGAGGGCACTAGTGTGCAAGACTTCCTAAAACGTGTGTGTGAGAGAGAGACTCCTTGTTAATTTTCAACAGAACATAAGTTATGATCAAACCCTTAAGAGCGATAAATCTTGAAGGAACTACAGTATATTTTAACGTATATACATGTGCGTGTGTGTGTGAGAGAGAGAGAGAGACTGATTTAGGTGCATCAAAGAATTCAACGTTTGGGGTAACACATGATGTAGCATTAATCTTATATGGTTGAGGTTATTTACCATTTTGAATTCTATAATTTTGTTTTGCTCTTATGTCCAAATTTTAGGTGAATGCAAATATGTGTACTTTTTTTTTTTTTTACTTGGGGAGAGAAAGTGGAGTACATCATAAAGTAGAGAAAGAAGGGAATGGTTTGTGTGAAAAGTAGAATATCAAACCACTGGCTTCATGATACTAATCCATTGTATTGTCCACATTTGAATAATCCTTTAAATAATATCTATTAACTTTTCTGTAGTGTAGTGTTTTTTTGGTCACTTTTCTCTTTCCCTCACAATAGCTATATTCATTTGTAATATACATAGCTCAAACAAATAATAATAAAATAAAAAGTAGATAATGAGGTAAATGTACGACACCATTAATGGACGAACTTGAAAACCTGAAAAAAAAAAATAAAAGAGTAATTAGTATTTTTTATTAAATAATGTTGATGTGGTATTTTACTTTTATAAAAGTAGATAGAGTAGGTATGTAATGCATATCAAATGCTCTTTGGAAGCAGATATATTGGCATAAAATGTAAAAAGAGCTAGATAAAAAAAAAATTAGAGTAGCCTTTTTATAAAAATAGATAGAGCACGTGTGATCCAGATACTCTCAAGTCAAGAGTAGTTGAGGAGTGGGCTTGATGCCACATCACAGTAAAGAAAATTTGGTATTGAATTTGACTCGGGTGACAATAAGTCGGGTCACTTTTTCATTGCTGACGGAGGGGCTAGTGGCTTCTGTACGTTGTTGTGGTGGGTGATTTTTATATTGCTGAGGGAGTGTCGGCTGCGGTTGTTGTGGTGACGGGCGGCGTCTGAGACAACCATCTTTAATCCATTCAACGCAATTGACTAGTCTTTTATCAGCCAGTCCAGATTTGGATAATCCCATAAATAATATCTATTAACTTTTCTGTAATGTTTTTTTGATTATTTCTCTCTTTTCCTTACAATAGCTATACTAGTAGACAATGAGGTAAATGTACCACACCATTAATGCACGAACTTGAAAAAAAAAAAAAAAAAAAGAGTAATTAGTATTTTTTATGAAATAATGTTGATGTGACATTTTATTTTTTTAAAAATAAGTAGAGCAGGTATGTGATACATACCGAATGTTCTTCGGAAGTATAGGGACATAAAATGAAAAGAAAGATAATATATGTAAAAAGTAAAGGGCCCAGATAAATGAGTCTCACCAATAATAATCTACTCAATTGTCTACCGTTAGAGAATCAGAAAGATAATATCTATCTTGCTAATACAATATTTTAGTCTCTTTATAGTGTTTTCGTTCACTTTGAGTAGGCACCAACATCAACTATACCATTTGTAGATACATCACTCAAACAAATAATAAGCAAATAATGTACCACACAATAAATGATACTAGATAAAAAAAAAAATTAGAGTAGCCTTTTTATAAAAATAGATAGAGCACGTGTGTGATCCAGATACTCTTAAGTCAAGATTAGTTGAGGAGTGGGCTTGATGCCACATCACAGTGAAGAAAATTTGGTATTGAATTTGACACGGGTGACAATAAGTCGGGTCACTTTTTCATTGCTGACGGAGGGGCTAGTGGCTTCTGTACGTTGTCGTGGTGGGTGATTTTTATATTTGCTTGAGGGAGTGTCTAAGTGGCTGCGTTTGTTGTGGTGACGGGCGGCTTCCGAGACAACCATCTTCCACGCATTCAACGCAATTGACTAGTCTTTTATCAGCTAGTCCAGATTTTATATAGACAGAAGAAACAGAGTTGCACTAATTGAACCAGTCACATGTGGAGCAAATGATGTTAGTCAAGTCACGTGAGAGTTGGTGGGATAATGAAATCAATGACAAAACGTTTTTACTAGTTATTGATATTTATAGGTTATACATGCTTTCTTAACTTCCCTACTCGAGGGAAACTTCCTCGCTGGTTGCTTTCGAACAAAAAGTAGTCGACGGTCAATTACAAGTAACCACAATTTTCCAACCTTAGGATGACGATGATAAGCCACTATAACGTGTCAGCATTGGCCTATATAAACCATGCATGCCTGCACTGTCCTAGACTCAGGCTCATACACCATTCAAAGATGACAAGAACTTTTGATATTTTGGATGGTGCGAGTGGATCAGATGAAGCAGGCCTCTTGTTTCAGGGTTCTGAGGTCACTTTTTTGTTGTGCCTCATTCTTATGTCTCTTTCAATCATGTCCATGCTCATCTTCCTTTACGGCGAGTTCTCTGGCATGGTTGGTGGTGGTGGTGGAGGATTTACTACTGGCAGGTGTGAGGGTGGAGCTTGTTAAGTAAATTGGTGTGTTTGACGGAATCTGAATAAAAGTTGAACCAGCTGCTTGAAATTTTCATGTATTATGTATAATCATATATTATTTCTTTCATTCCATCAGTTTTAAGCAGTTATACATGTAAGTTCTGTTATATGTCATCCGGCCTCCTATATCTATCATTTTGTAACATCTCTTGGAGGCTATAGAACTTATTTGTATCTCATCCATCCACACCAAATAATCCAATGGCTTTCTTGAATTATGTTTTTTTTTTGGATGTCATCTTCAGAAATACTCCTTATATCATTAATTTTCATTGTTTGTGAAACTGTAGTAGTTTTACAACAAATATACACTTGCAAAAGTAATAACAAGAATTACAATGGGTATTTTTTTTTGGTAATTAAAAAATAAATGGCTTGCGTAATTTTACCAAACTGAGAATAAATGAAGTCTGGTCGAGTGTGTGTGTGTATATATATATGTGTGTGCGTGTGCGTATAAGGTCTGCGGATTCTAGTTAAGTGTTGCATATTGTCAGGGTTCTAGAGCACCATTCTAATCACACGCTTCTACTGGTGCATGGCGTGACAATATGCATACCACACGTGCATTATCCACAAGAATTCTCCATTTGATTATAGGTTTTCTGTGATTGGGCAAAAGTTTAATGCCTCATAGTCCCACATTATTTTTAATAAGGCCACCTAATTTTGACTTGTGGATGATGATGAGTTTGCCTTATTGAGTGGACGAATATGCATACCACACGTGCATTATCCACAAGAATTCTCCATTTGATTATAGGTTTTCTGTGATTGGGCAAAAGTTTAATCCCTCATAGTCCCACATTATTTTTAATAAGGCCACCTAATTTTGACTTGTGGATGATGATGAGTTTGCCTTATTGAGTGGACGAATTTCATCGTTTCGCTGATACCCAAATTTCACCACATATTTCTATATATCCTCCTTTGGCATATAATTAACCTTCCGGAGGAATTCTAATGATCCTGGCTCTTATAACATAAAAAATGGTGATAAGGAGGGATGTTAATGGAGCAGCTTCGGTACACGCCATCTCTATTTTAATTTGGTCTTATAAACAAAAATAGGTCTCTAATAGAAATACAATTTGTACTCAATCCAACATATAAAATGTTCAAATTTAACCATAATTTGACTTCCAATCCTAAATTTAGAGTTAGAAAGTCAGGTTAAAATTAATTCTCTAAATATTAACATACAATAAATTAAAATTTAAAAGTCATGAAAAAAAAAACGTGTTCATAATTTAAATATTATATATAATATATTTTGGTGTACCTTTCTCAGAGCTATTTCAGCCTTAGATTGTTTTACTTTTATTAAATGATCGACAACCCTAACTCCTTCATTTCCCTTTCGGATAAGAGAGAGATATACATATATAAGAGAAATGATAGGTCTTCCGACCTTAATTGTCGCCTCTTCTTCTGAATACAACGTGGTTGGATCTCGTTAGAACTTTTAAAAAAATTCCCGTAAACATCTCTTTCTCTTCGACTCATTCCCAACCACGTTATATTCGGAGGAATAGTCGACAATTAAAATTGAAAGATCTATCACATCTCATATATATATATATATATATATATATATATATATAATTGTAATATATTCAACGTATAGTGTTAAACAACTATTGAGGTCACACTAGCTCTCATATTGTACAGTTTGGTCAATGATATATATTAATCAAGTAAGATTTGGTGGGTTCATTTATGAAACAAATGCCTAAACCATGCATTTTACTAATTTTTGCTTTTATATAGGATTATAATTCTACCTAACTTATCCTTTCTTGAATTGTATAAGGAAAATCTAAGCTACACGTAATTGTCTATGGGAATTTCTTCGTATGCTGCTGTTTATTTCTTGTTGAACATATGGCTCAAATTGTGGCTGTTGCTGGGGACCATAAATTTGTGTGATTAGCAAGTATATTGCATCATTCTTTAAGTCAATTTTTTCTTGGCAGCCAAGGTGAGTGTCCAAGAAGCTATGCCATGCG